TGCCGCAGGCCAGGCCCGGTAGGACTGCCAGCCTCTGGGCGGAGGGAGACCCTGGCCGTACTCGAGACGGCAGCTGGCAGCGCCAGAACGCCGGGCAGCGTGAGCCCCTGGCACTGTCCTGGCGCGCTCGACACCTGGACAATTCGAGGCTGACTTGGAGTAGCCGCCCACCCTGACGCGCGGAGCGCAAGGCGGATGACTCGTCGCTGGGCCTGGCCACCGCACGCCCCCGCGTGGGCGGGCGGCCGCGCCGGACGGCTGGGCGCCGTTGAGGGCCCTTGCGCGGCCGCGCGGCTCGTCTGGTTGGGGCGGCCGAAAGGAGGACAAAAAAAAAGCTCGCTCTGCTGGCCATCGCACTCGCGCAGCCCTATTCCGCGCCGCTCTTCGGTCATATGAGTTTGTTCGCTCACGCGGGTTCTTGGAAGAGTTCAGATATGATGATGAATATGTGTGTTGTTCTATATGCGCTCACCTGCATGCCGTTCCTCTGCCTTCGTCCACATGCCGCGCAACTTTGTGTCTCTCCTGGATGTCCCGGCGATGCCCGCTAACCTGCGAAACGGGCTTCAGGGTTAAATTGTGCGATTGATGCTGGTTGTCTCTCTCCCCTCTTCCCTCCTCTGCCCGCGCGTTCGGTGCCCGTCTGAACTGTCGGTGCCCGATGGCCCCTCAGCTGCGTGACGTTTCCCGGCTTCGGCGCGCCAGGATCGATCGAGAACTCGGGCCCCGCGCCGCGAGTTCGGTCGTCGAAGCCCCGTGCAGTACCTGGGCCACCGCCCGCGGGTTCCGTCGGGGCCGTCAGGGGTGCCGTTTTGGGTGTTTCGCTGCAGGTGGCGATGAGATTGCACATTGCATGATGCTGTAAAAGTCCAGGGGCCACCTGAGCACATTGCCAATGATTACCGTGAAGTTCGAGCCCACCCTGAAATCGGTAGAAAACGATGACAAAGGAGACGACGTACCATCAGCACCGCAGTCAGCCAGGTGATCAGCACAGTCGTTTCATACGGCATCAGCGTGAGACGCAGTCTTGGTCCACGTAATGCGCTGATCAATGCTGTCAGGGATATGACGCGTTTGTAAAACAAGAGCCACGCTGCGACGAGCACGGGCGCGTCTGCGAACAACGTCCTGCTGCACGCTGGGAGTCAAACTCAATTGCGACAGATAAAGAGTGAACAGACTGAAGCATGCGACGAAAGTAGCCAGCACCGATGGCGAATGGGCCGGCATGCCCCTCCAGACCAGCAGCGATGGCGGATGGGCCGGCGCGCCCGCCCAGACCAACATCGATGGTGGATGGGCCGGCGCGCCCGCCCGGACCGCGCGCCGGCCCCGGGGGGGGCGCGCGGCACAAAGCGTGGGGGGGGCACCCCGCGCCGCGGCGCGATGTCGTAGGAGGAGCTGCGCGCAGCTCTCTGTGTCCGACGACAAGTCCTGGATATAAAGATGTAGTATCACCCACCCTGTTGGAATGTTGCGCAGCACCCACAAAGCATTCATCTCCGCGAGCAAGGGTTGCAGGGCCGCAGAAGTCCAGCAGCTGGTCGTAGAAGGGGAGGGGGGCCGTGAAGCCCCGCCCAGACTTTGGCTCGTCCCCGTCGAGACTCGCACTGCCGTCGCACGAAACCACCGCGTGGGCACGAGCCTGGAACGCAGTGGCGGGGAGTTGCGGCGGCAGGCTGGCCCCTCTCGGCAGGCCGTCGGCCAGGTCAGGCGCCACTGGTGTGATGACACGTTTGATGCGCCGCAACGGGGGCTTGCGAAGATGAAGTCGGCAGGTTGGGAAACAGTCCGGTCCAAGTGCGAGCGAACTTGTCGATTGTTGCGCGCGTCCGCGCAAGCCTGGGTTGCAATGGTGTTTACCCGTGACAAGTTGCAGAATGCATGCAGCATGGTGAATGAGAAGGCCATTTGGTAAACTAGCAGGGAATAGACCGCAACGTGGGACACAAGGAGGAGGCCCGACTGGAAATCGACTAACAGGGACTTGCTGATCAAGCCAGGCACGAGGAACGCGGTTACAAGGACAAAGCCAAAGACGATGTTCAGTGGTCTCCACTGCTGTGCCGCGTCGTGCATACTCGCCCGAGTTTGGTGCCCTGTGTCCGCGTTTGATCCCCCGTGTCCGCATTGGACCCCTGCGTCCGCGAGTGTTTCCCGCCTCTCCCCCAAGGATGGGCAATCGCCTCGTATGATTTAATCGCTTCGCTCATGCCGCCGGCCTGGATGGCCTGGAGCCCTCTTTAGGGCCTCTGGGGCCTCTTGGGGACCTCTTGGGAGTCTCTTGGGGCCTCCTTGGCGGCAGTTTTGGAGTGGGTCCCCAGGGGGCCTCTTGGGGGGCTCTTGGGGGTAGTCGATTGCGGCTCCCCCCTCGGAGGCCACGATCCTCGTGAGGGGTGTCGAAAAATACCCTCCCCTGGAGTGGTATGGTGGCTTCTCCCGGGCTTCTCTCGGGACCTTGCCGGGGTACTTTTCGTCCGGGGGCCCCCAGGGGCCGCTCCGCGCGCGCGAACTAGAAATATTGTTAACCAGTTGCCGGAGATCTTAGCACGCTTCTGGCCCGTTGGGCCGGCGCGAATTTCCCAGGTCTCCCCTTTCAATTTTTTTATTTTTTTTCTTATTTTTTTTTTTTTTTTTTTTTTTTCTTTTTTTTTTTTTTTTTTTTTTTCTTTTCTTTTTTCATCTTTTTTGTCCAATGGGGCCTCCACGTTTTTTTTTTTTTTCTTTTTTGGGTTTTTTTTTTCATTTTCGTTTTTTTTTTCAATGATCGTCTTCTCAGCGTTGCCTTGGCTACTGGTGCGTTGCACGCCGCATGCAATGCGCAGCGCGCGCCGGGGCCGCGCGGCGCCCGCGCTGCCCGTCCCTCTCTTTCCAAGCACGGCTGCGCGCCCAAACTTCACCACCCACCAAACCACCCCGACCCAACCCGAAGGTCTCGATTTGCCCTCCATTTCCAGTTGGGGGGGGTCGGGGAACATCGAGAAAACACATATGGAACCCGTACCCCCCCCAACCCGAAATTCGGGTCTTCGGGTTGGGTTGGGGTGGTCTGGTAGGTAGTCAAAACTCTCCGAAGCTGTGCGGCACGGTTTCTTGTCAGAGCTGCTCGAGGCGCGGGGTCGGGGTGAATTGTCAGGTCGGGTCATGCCTCGTCGTCGGCCTGCTTCTCCTCGCGGGGACAAGGCGCAAGGGGGGTACGAATGGGCAAGTGGAGCGAGGTCTCCTGGCTTCCTGGCGTTCGAGTTTGAGGTTCTCGCGGAAGGTGTCCGAGCGGCTTCTAGGAGGAAGCCTTCAACCAACACGCCAACAACTTTTTGGAGGAAGGTTTTCGGAAGTCCCGCTTGGGGAAACCCTCCTGCATCCCTCCCGAGGAAGGGAGGCTTTCGCAGGGTTTCTGGGCGTTCTCTTTCGGTGGCTCCCGGCTGCTTTCCAGACTCGCGGTGCTCCCCAGCAGCTGCGCCTCGCCGAGGGCCTTCCAGGAGTGGACGGATCGGCCCGCGCGGCCGACGGCGAGCCGAGCCCAGGGGGCCACATGGGAACCCCACCCCTACCCCCCGCGATTTCTGAGGGGGAGGGCGGGGTTCACTTCGCTCGGGAGCTCCCGAACGAAGTGAACCCCCCCCTCCCCCTCAGAAATCGTGGGGGGTAGGGGTAGGGTTCGCATGTGTTCCCTTAAGGGTGGGTAGCATCGGTGGGGGGAGGCGCAGCGACCCCCGACCGCCCATATCATCGCAGAGGAGAGCGAGTCGAGTTGGACAGCGCGAGTCTGTCGTCGGGGGCCCCCTCGTCGCCACGGTTGGACGCGACTCGGGAACTCGGTGCGTCTGGACCCAGACCTTTTCCTCCTCCCCCTGCTCCTCCGCCCCCTGCTCCTCCCTCTGCTCCTCCCCCTCCTCCTTTTCCTCCTCCTCCTCCTCCTCCTCCTCCTCCTCCTCCCACTACCCCTCCTCATTTCGGCCTCGGAGTCGCCAGCGTCGGTGTCGTCGGCGACTGTTTGCGGAATGTTGTGGCTGGGGGTGCGCAGGTGAGGTCGGGTGATCGCTTTGAGCTGCCGTTGTCTCAAGTTGCCCTGCCCCGACTTCCGGCACCGCCCCCGTGACCCACGGTCGTCCCAGAGCGGCTCGGGATGAGGAGTTGGTCCGAGGCTAGTTTTCCTCGGGTCGCTCCCTCGTGCCACTGACAGTCATGCGGCGAGTTCCTCCAGATGTGCATGCTTCTCAAGGGACAAATCGGAGAATTCCGTTTGTTGCGGGCATTCGTGCCGCGGAAAAGCGGGCTGATATCCAGAGACAGCGTGCTGCTCACGCAACCCAGCGATCCGCCGTCGTACACGGACGGTTCCACATGGGTTTTCGACGAACAGATCGCCGACGCACGCTCAGGGCCCCTTGTAGGCGTGGCGCGGAGTCGTCCTTCGACCTCGTTCAGGTGGGGTTGGCGGGAAGCGGGAGGAGAGGCGGACACCGGTGCGCACGCCGTGGGTGCTGCAGCCCTCGCCGGCAGGCGGGCGCGGAGGAGGGGTGGAAGCAAACGAGGGGGCTGGGCGAGGGGGCAGGTGAGGAGGAGAAGGGCGAACGATCAACACGCACCCATAGCCATAGGGGGGACGGAATGAGCTATGGGTGCGTGTTGTCGGAGGGGGGTCCTCGCTCGAATGGGAGCCTCCCCAGGGGTCCGACAACCCGCACCCATACCCATAGCCAGTCCTTCTCCCTCCGACCTCCCTATGGGTATGGGTGTGTGTTGTTCGTTCGTCAGAGAAGGACCGAGGAGGGAACAGGAGGGAGCAGGAGGATACGTGGCAGGATGTGCGCGCACAGACTAGCAGGGCGAGCCAAGAAGAGTGGAGAAACGCGAAGAAATTATAACGAATCTGATGATGAGGAGCTATCAGGGAGGGAGGACAGTGAGGAAACGTTCCCGTTCATTCTTGTTCGCGCTTCCTCGCATTTTTCTATATTTTTTTTGTTCTCTCTCTCTCTCTCTCTCTAGCTCACAGGCGGCCCGAAAGCGGGGGATCGGGCGCTTCATCTACTGCAGCACGGACGAGGTGTATGGGGAGGGCAGCCTGGAGGACGTTGGGACATCCTCATCGGTCTCCGACTTCCTCCCTCCCTCCCCTTCCTGCTCCTGGTCCTCCTTTTGTCTCCGACTTCCTGCTCTGTTCCTCGTCCGCGCAGCACTCTCTCCAGTCTCCCCCCCGGAAGCGCAAGATGCATCTGCGGTCATCGTCAAGGCAGTTCTGCCCTCCTCATTCTCCTCCTCCTTCGCTTCATTCTTCTCCTCCTCGAGCTTCGGGATTGGATTCTTCACCAGGCTGATAAGGGGGGCGCGTAGGGTCAACATGGTAGCCAAGGGGGCTACGCAGTGGGTCCCCATCGACCACCCTGTCGTTGGATAAAGAGAGTGTGTGCGATCCGGTTTCTCTCCTTCAGGCTGAAGCGCCAAGTTGTCTTCTCTGTAGGGGGGATGGTCGCTCTATTGGTTCGTTTACAATTCGGTTCAAGATGGACTGCCGTTGGTGACTCTGGATGCTGTTCGTCGCTTTTCCAAGGGGCTCAATGAAAACACTTCGGTTATGTCGGACGGTTTTCATTTGAGGCATTTCAGTATGATGAGTGACCACACCTTGGAGGGGCTGGTGCAGGTCTTTTCAGTCATCGAGCTGGGGTCTTCGATTTCCCAGCAGTGCGCGATGGTGCTTGCTTCTCTGATCCCCGAGGCTTTTTCGGGATTCAAGCCTATTGGCACCTTCTTTGCGCTTTATCGGGCCTACGGCTTTTTCCGCAGCCTTTGATTCAGCAGTGGATACGGTCCCACCCTTGAGAGTATTTCGCTGCTGGTCCTTTCGAGGGGGCCCAGGAGGCTGTGTGGCGCTAGTTTCTTCAAACCGAGTCCAATGTGGACTATAGGGGGAGGCTGCGTCGGTCCCTCTCGGTTTGTGCAGGTATTATGAGGCGGTTGATCTCAGGCAGCTTCTGGCTCGTCGTAAAATATGTGATTTTCCTTTGGCGATCGACTGCGTGGCGGTATGTATGCACTTGCAAGATAGGCGGCTCCCTTTGCCGGGTTTCGCGGTAGGCCGTTTCTGTGATGCGAGGGGCATCGTGGTGGGGTGTTGTTGTTTTCGACGGCCTTCATCAAGTTGCACCCTATTGGGGCTCTGGACAGTTTGGTGTTGTTGACGCAGGTGCGTTTCAAACCGTACATCGACGACAGTGGCTTGTCTGCTACAGGGTCGGCGGATTAGATTATAACGCATCTTCCCCCCTGCGGTCGCAGTTGCTCCGTACATTCCAGGAGGACGTGGGTGCGTTTGGGTCCGACTGCCCTGGCAAAGGACTGTTTATGTGTTCTTCGCGCTTGCTGCGCAAGCAAGCGGGCGCGCGCCTTAGAGGCTTAGCTGGGCCTGTAGTTTCCTCAGGTGACAACCTAGCCGTTGACGACGCTGTTGGCAGGTCTAGCCGATTGAAAGGACGCTCGAGCAAGGCGAATGCTAGGGAGGCTAAGTCCAGGAAGTTTTGCGAGAGGCGTGCTCGACTGCGTCCGTACATCGGCGGCAGAGTACTAGGACAGTTTTTGCGTCGGGGGCCATGGCTAGCAACCTGTTCGGGGCTGACGTTCAAGGGGCCGCGTATCACGAGCTTTTGGGATGCAGACAGCAAGCGGGTTCGGTCGTTGAGCCCCTTTCTAGAGGCAGGTATTTGACGTGCTTTCTGACGAGCCGCGCTGGCTCGCCGATGCTGCCCCTATCGTTCTTTGGGCCAAGGAGGTATGGATCTCGAACCATCGTTTGCATCGTTTCCGTGTTCCCTGCCTGAGCTCCGCGAGGCTTGGGGGCGTGGATTCCGAGACGAATTTGGTGAGTGGCGAAGTATCGGTGGCCCCTGGGGGCCCCCAGGAACCCCAGTGAAAGGATTGCGTGGCAGATGGAGTTTTCCTCCGTGTTCACGACCGGCCAAGGAGATAGGATCTGTCTCACTGAGTTCTCGCCTCAAATCCTGAAGTCTCTCTTGGCGCGCGCGCGGTGGTTCGGGGGTTGGAGTGGGATTTTCGGGGGGCGAAGCTTAACCTGAACGGGCGGGCTTGTGTCGGCGGTGTTTTGCAGTGGCTTCGGAGCTCTCGGCTCACTCCTTTCCAGAAAGGGCGTGTTCGCGCGGTCTTTTGTGACGCTGTTGGCACTGGGCAGGGGGCGGCCGACTTAGGCTACCATATCGACACGACGCGCGTGTTGCGCCGTAGTTGTCCCGACATTTCGCCTGCCGATTGTGCAGGCAGCCAGACTCCTGCTGCGCCACTCCGGGAGGGCAATCTCACGCACCTCTTACGAGTCCGCAGCAGCTTTGGAGGGGGCGGCCGCGGTCTACGACGAGGCTTAGCTGGCGGGTTGCGAGGATCACGCGGAGCTGGACCCGTGCGCGGCCAGCAGCAGCTGGCGCGGGCGGCTTGGGCCGCCTCCTGGGCGCGGAGCCTGAGCGGGGTCCAGGAGCGCGCCGGCCTCGCTCGCCTGGAGGACCTGGATTTGCACGCTCTCGCTTGCTGGCGCCTGCCGCGACCCGCTGGCAGGGCTCGCGCAGGTGGCGCCACCGCCGCCGCCCCGGCCCGGCGATGGGCCCCCCGAGCTGCCCGCCTGGCGAGAGCTGGCTGAGACGCCGACCAGAAAACTCCCAAAGACCCTGGCTGCGAGGATTCGCAATAAATACGTGTCCAAGCTGGGGGCCCTGGAGCCAGAGGGGAAGGCGATGTCTCTTGCGCTCTTGAGGCGGGCCGCGCGCCTCCGGGTGGCAGACTGCTGCGCCCGGGCAGGCCCAGCCCGCGAGCGGCTGGGCGACGCGGACTACAAGAACACTGTCCGTTGCCTGCTGGGGCAGGACGCAACTCCGCCTGGGGCCGCCCGTTACAACCGCCCTGCACGGGCGACCGCGCCAGCCAGCGCTGCGGCGAGGCGCTCTGCGGCAAGGTCCGCCGCGCCTGGTGCTGCTCGCGCGGTGGAGGCCTGAAGGCCTGCAGCGGGGACCTCGAGCGCGCGCGGCAGCGCGTCCATGCGGACTGCGGCCACCGCCCCAAGCGCCAGGTCCACGTCCCAGCGTGGAGCCGGTGGGCGTGGTGCTGCGCTGGGTGCAACGCGCGCCGGACCGCCCTGGCTTGGCCAGCGGCCGTCTGCGCCTCGGCGTGCTGGCTGCCGCGCTGGGGGAGGCCATCCTGGATCTGGAGGTACAGCGGTTTGGCCAGCCGCGCGCCTACTTCGACGTCGTTGTCCCGTACTGCGTGCCGGGCGACGCCGACTCGCTGGGAGCCGCCGCGGGCCAGGACGGCGTTGTGAACTATGCCGCGGAAACCGACAAACACCCGAACAGCGGCTGAGGTTTTTGGTTTGCCTCTTAGCCTACCCTGAAATCTTCCATGTACCTCTTGTGGTCTGCACGAAATTTGCTTCGAACATACCTTGTTCAGACTGTCGTGTTTCAACACATCGGGTTTATGTTCTCAGAACATTGTTTTTTGTTTTTCGAACAATTTGGGGTTCTAAGAACATTCGTGGTAGGCCTACAGGAATGCCGGGACGATCGGTCCCTGCTCAAAGCACCGGCGGTATCCAGCCAGGCAGGCGCCCTCGCTGGCGCCGCTGCCGCCGGCCGGGCGGCCCTGCGGCGCCTGCACAGCCTGGCCCGGGAACAGGCGGCGCTGCCGGCGCCGAGCGACGATGGGGACGATCGTCGTCGCCGCCGAAGCCCTCGCAGGGCAGCTCGCGGCCCGGCAGGGCCGCGGTATCAGGGTGGCTTTGCAGCGCGCCACCACCCGGCAACTCGCCACCATCGCGCTGCCGGCCTATCTTGTCGAAGCGTTTTCGCCGAAATTCTGGGGGTCGGAGCTTGCTTTAGAGCATTGATTCTGTTTCATGGCTGCAGGGGGAGGAGGAGGGAGAGGACGAAGGGGATAAGGAGGAGGGGGACAAGTATTTGGGGGAAGAGGGGGAGGAGGACGGGGGAGAATAGGGGGCGGATGATGATGAGGAGGGGGAGGAGGAGGAGGAGGAGGAGGAGGAGGAGGAGGAGGAGGAGGAGGAGGGGAGGAGGAGGAGGAGGAGGAGGAGAGGTGAGGAGGAGGAGGAGAGGAGGGAGGAGGAGGGAGGAGGAGGAGAGGAGGAGAGGAGGAGGAGGAGGAGGAGGAGGAGGAGGAGGAGGAGGGGAGGAGGGAGGAGGAGGAGGAAGGAGGAGGAGGAGGAGAGGAGGAGGAGGAGGAGGAGGAGGGAGGGAGGGAGGGAGGGAGGGAGGGAGGGGATGGGAGGGAGGGGAGGGAGGGAGGGAGGGAGGGAGGGAGAGAGGGAGGGAGGAGAGGGAGGAGGGAGGGAGGGAGGGAGGGAGGAGGGAGGGAGGAGGGAGGGAGGGAGGAGGGAGGAGGAGGAGGAGGAGGAGGAGGAGGAGGAGAGGAGGGAGGAGGAGGAGGAGGAGGAAGGAGGAGAGGAGAGGAGGAGGAGGAGGAGGAGGAGGTGGAGGAGGAGGAGGAGGAGGAGGAGGAGGAAGGAGGAGGAGGAAAAGAGGAAAAGGAGGAGGAGGAGGAGGAGGAGGAGGAGGAGGGAGGAGGAGGAGGAGGAGGAGGAGGAGGAGGAGGAGGAGGAGGAGGAGGGGCTGGGCGGACATCGGCGCAGGCCCGCAGCGCCCCCGCCGCGAGGACCGGGTCGAGTTTTTCGAGGGCAGCCTGATAGAGCCGGGCCCAGTCGGACCACATCGGCGGCGCGCGTCCCTCTCCTGCTCATCGTCGCCCTCGCTGTCGATCCGTCGTTTTTTTTGTTTTTTATGTATAGAAAATATAAAGAATAAAGAATAAAAACAACAACATTGTGACCACGGTACGGCACGGCACCAGGAACACCTTGTACCTGTGCGGGTAGCTGTGTCCAGGTACTACCGCCAGTAGCGGTGACGCTGGCACGATAGCAAGACCCCGCGATACCGGTACCCGTGCGGTACCGAGGCCGTGCGGTGCCGGTGTGGTGCGGGGACCAAAGCCAGCACCAGTAAGTTTGCATGCCCATGCTTTTGTTTTCTCCTCTGAAAACCCTTCGCGCTACCAAGAATTTCCAGAAAGGACCCCTGCAGGAAGGACGGAACAAAACTGGAAGGGAGCCAGGAAGGGCGATGGCGAGGAGGACGATGAGCGGCACCTGCTCGTCGTCTTCCTCACCATCGTACCCGTTTCCCTCCTCATCCTGTAGATCGTTGGCTTTGTCTCTGCTTACCCCTCCTTCTCCGCCGATCGAGACTCGGCCATGAAGGCGATTGGTGGCGGGCCGATTTAGTTTTTGGGGTGGGAGGAGAGAGGAGATGAGGCAAGAGACCCTCCGGGCGTTCGACCTATGATGCCAGATCCTGACGGTTTGGGCCCGCTTGGGGTCTTCCTGGACGTGCAGGAGGGCTCCAGGGATCGGCTGTGGGCAGGTCAAGGCTGGCGGCGCGAGTGAGGAAGGGGTGGAATCGGGCCGGGCGAAAGGGTAGGATGAGGAAAGGGGGGGCTGCGAAATCTGCTACGTGCAGCTTGTTTTGGCCCCGCCGCCTCCCTCGATGCGCGTGGGCGCCCCCCGGCGCCAGGAGGCGCCAGCAAGACCAGCTGCGTGAGTTGATTCTCTACCCTGCCACTTGCTATCGGGCGACGACATGTAGACATATCCACTGCCCCCTGCTGAACCCAGGAGCTGTGTATACGCCCTCCTGGCCCAGCCGGGAGGGCGTGGCGTGTGCACCGGTGGTGGGTTCAGGACGGGCCTGGCCGGGGAGCAGAGTAGATAGGAATAGACTTCGTCGCTCTGCGCTGTCCTGCCCCCTCGTCCCCCCCAAGGGAAGGAAGGGGGGGCGATGGAAGGGACGGGGGATTTTTTTACAGTGCACCGCTAACACCCAGGCTCCAAGGGCAGATTCCTGCCAGGGACTGGCCGCTAGGCGCCAGGGAGAAAAATTTTAAGCATCAGTCCAAGATGCGACAGTCTGGAAGGGACGGGGGAGCGAAGCGGTGGGCGGGGAAAGGCGGGCGATGCCCGCCGGGCCCCGCGAGCGCTCGGCGCGCGCGCTCGGCGCCCGAGGCGCCGAGCAACCCCTATGCCGCCACGAAGGCGGGGGCGGACCTCCTGGCGCAGGCGTTCTGCAGGTCCTTCGGGATGCCGGTCATCGTCACGCGAGGCTCTCCTCGGGGGCTCCCAAACGGGGTGGTGACCACACCGTGTGGTGAGTCTGTGGGGATTCGGGGTCACGACACGGTTTTGGGACTTGGGTCGTTCTCCGAGGATGTCTCGGGCGCTTGCAGCCTCCAGGGTCCCAAAACCGTGTGGTGACGGACCGTGCGGTGAGGTCTTTGCGGATTTCGAGGTCACCGCTGGGTCTGTCACCACACGGTTTTGGGACACCCAATCTCCGCTCGGGGAAACGTCTTGGCATCGCTCGGACGTGTGCATGTTTTCTCGGCGAGTGCCATCGAGGACCATCCTGGACCATCGAGCAAGAAAAAACACGCACGACACCGACAAATGCACGGGAACTGGACGTCCGAGCGACGGCAAGACGTAAGACTCGAGAACGCACGGACTCGGGTCTGCCGGCGTTTTTCGACGAGCGCGACGTGGATTTTGACGGTCCGGTGTTTTTGGGATGTCTGCAGCGGGAGCTCGCGTCAAGTCTCAGATTGGGTCTCCTCATTTTCATGATGGCCCCCTCAGGCCGATCCGAGTCTTCCGAACCCGAGTCTTACGTCTCCCCGATCCTCGCCCCCCGTCCTCGGTCTAAGAGCAGTGAGCGGCACAGGAACCTGCGGGGGCGGACCTGCTGGCGCAGGCGTTCTGCAGGTCCTGCCACGCGCAGAGGGGGGGTATGGGGGAGAGGGGAGGCTTCTTCAAAGCCATCCTGCTTCTGAGAAGGTGCGGGCCTTGTCTTGGATGTAGGGCCAGTGCCTTTTAAGAAGCAGCCTCCTCCCGAGAAGCCTTCCCCCTCCCCCTGAGCCCCGTGTGCGCGCCGCCAACAGGTCCTTCGGGAGAGATGTCAGTCATCGTCGCGCGAGACCCTCCTGGCCCCCCGCCCTCGGTCGAAGAGCAGAGAGCTACACATGTAGACCTGCTGTCTCGGAGACGGGTCGTCGTCGACGACGACGACGACCCGAAGCGAAGAATCAAAAGTTGCATGAACTGAACTTCGGAGGTCCGTTCGGATTCCTCGGATCGGTGCTGGGCTCCCTTGGCGGTGCTTCCGGCACCGCCCCTGGCGCGCTCCGCGCGCCAAGGAGTGAATGCTGTTGATCCGCGCGGATCCCGGAAACACTGTGTTTATGCCGTTGCTTGCTCCTTTGCTCCTCGTTCCTCTCTCCTCGACGCTCCCCTTGCGTCGCGCGAGGTCCTCCGGGATGCCGACCACGCCGGTCATCGTCTCTCACCGTCCTCCCTCAATCCTCGCTCGGGAGGGCCGCGGATGTCTCGACCGGCCCGCCTTCGAGCAGAGCAGATCCCTCGGGATGTCGAGCGTCGTCACGCAAGGCCGAGGACGAGTGGAGCAGGAGGGAGCCGGGGGGGTGGAATTTCGGGCGATGGTGTTGGGCGGAGTCCGCGTTGGTCTCGGAAGGGTCTCGGCGTTTCTCGCTCCTCGCGCACAGGATGGGCGCAGCGGAGGACCGCGAGTGGGGCCTGCAGGGGGCTTCGGCCCTTGTCCTAAAATCCCTTCAGGAGAAGCGTTGACTGCAGGAGGCTTGGGGAGGACGGGGGGGAAGGGGGAAGAGGAAGAGATGGAGGGATGGAGGAGGGCACTGGGACGAGGGTGGTGCTTCGCTTTGAAATTGGCCGTGGGGACGCGTCGAGCCGCGTCGATGATCGTCGCGCGGGACCCGCGCAGACGAGTAGAGGCATCTATTTGGCCGATCACTTGTATTGTAGCAGGCAAGACTTCTCCCTCGCGGATCTCCAGAAGCCTGCAAGCTGAGCCTCCTCTTCCTTCCCTGGGTGTCTCCTCCTTCCCTCCCCCCTCTTCCCCCAGTCCTCTCTGCCCCGCGCTGTCCTGCGCCCAAGGGCTCCACCTGCAGTGGAGACCCGTGCCGAGAAACGTCCTGGCTGCCTCCAGGGTGGCCTGGGTCCTTCGGTTCCGATGCTTTCGCCATGGAAGGCGCGACGCTACCACACCAAAACCCGATGGACGTCCTGTGCTCCTCCTCCTCCTCCTCCTCCTCCTCCTCATGGACGTCCTGTGGTCTCAGGGCTGGGCTTCTCGTGGAAGGTCTCTCTTCTGGTCGGGCCCCCTACTGTAGGCCCACAGGCACCGGGCGGCACTGCGCGCCTGGCAGTGCACCTCCGCCACGACGACGCGCGCACCCCCGGAGGAGGAGGAGGAGGAGGAGGAGGAGGAGGAGGAGGAGGAGGGAGGAGGAGGAGGAGGAGGAGGAGAGGAGGAGGAGGAGGAGGAGGAGGAGGAGGAGGAGGAGGAGGAGGAGGAGGGGGAGGAGGGAGGAGGGAGGATGGGGAGGAGGGAGGGAGGAGGAGGGAGGAGGAGGGCTCCCCGGGCGCGGCCGGCAGCCCATGGGCTGCGCCTCGGGGCTCCCGGTCCGGGCTCCGAGGCTCCGCGCGGGGAGCACGGCGGTCGCCAAGAGCCTCGGGGATGCAGGCGATCGCAGGCAGGGATCAACGGGGGCGTGGATGTCACCACCCACCAAACCACCCCAACCCAACCCGAAGGCCCAAATTTATCCTCGATTTCCAGTGGGGGGGGGTCGGGGAACATTGAAAAAACACGTGGTATCCGTACCCCCCCCAACCCGAAATTCGGGTCAAATTCGGGTCTTCGGGTTGGGTTGGGGTGGTCTGGTAGGTAGTCAGGATGAGCAACGGGTCCCGTTTCCACTGGGACAAGTCGCGGGCTTCTGCCGCCGAGGGAGGCGCTACCGGCCGCATCTTTGGGGGGGGCACCTCCCCAGGCCAGTGGATTTGGCTCGGCGTCGCCCCAATACACTTATGCTATATGTGCGTCGCTCCCCCAGGGGCGACGCGCGCACCGAGAAATCTTATAGTATGTGCGTCGTGGCGGGCGCTTTCTGGCCACACCGCTCGGGAAACGATATACTACAAGATGGGTATACTATATGTTCGGGTCGGACGCGCGCCTCCAAGGAGGACACATAGTATTAGTATGTCCCTGCGCGTCCCATTGGCGGCCGCGCGGCGAATCCATGGATCGCGAGTCCATGTTTGCTCGGGCCAGGCGAAAGGGGGGGATTGGGAAAGGGGGGATTACGAAATTTGCTGCATGCAGCTGGTTTCGGCCTCACCGAGGGGCTCATTCCTCGATGCATAGCCGCCTCCGGCGCCGGGAGGCGCCGGGAAAATCAGCTACGTGAGCTGATTCTCAAACCCCCCCTTTGCTATCCCCCCCTTTCGCCCGACCCGATTTGCGCGCCCCCGAGCGATGGGTTCCCTCGGCACTGGCGGGGATCACGGTTCCCTGCGCGATTTCTGCCACCGGGGACCTGGAAGCGATAGCTCGGGGACGGCCTGTAGACCTCTCTCCCCAGCCCTAAAGCCGGTCCTCCACGACCGTTGCCGCCTGCACCGCCTCCGTCGAGCCGGGACGGCTGCCCACTATGGACTCCTACCTCGAGGAGGTCTTGCTCTCACTCGTCGTCGCATGTACGACTGCCGTTCGGTGGCGGCTACCAGGGCGCATGCTGGAATGCGCGCGGCCCTCTGGCATATGGCCTGGAAGTGCAAGCGCGTGAACGAACGCAGATGATGAAATCGATTGGACGGAGTTACAGCCAGCCACCGACTGGGACTAAGAAATTTTGGGCCCACGGGAGTCGGCATCAAGGCGGCTTGATGACCCTGGTGCAGAACAACTTCCTGAAACACTTCAGCGCGCTCTCACCGACATCCTGGTTCCAGTTGGAGTCGGGCAGGGTGGGCATTCTTCGACTACATTCTGGGCCCCGTGAGCTATTTCGGGAAGATCACACACTCACACCGTGCGTGTTCTTTTTCGGCCTGATGGTACCGCATCTTGACGAATCGCCGCGACGTGCACTTCTTCGACGGCGCGCTCTTCACCACGCGGCCTGGCTTCGAGGCTGCAACCTTGGACCACGCGCCGTTGTCTCTCGGCCGGAGGCTCCCAACTTAAGACCCGTCGGTGCTCGCCATTTCCCTGCATCTGTAAGGAGGGGGAAAAACACACAGACACAAGTAATCGTCGATTCCCAAGAAATATGAGAAAACTATGGGAATTGGGCGGGAAGACAAAAACCCAGAAAATATGGGAAAATATGGGGAATCTTTTTATCTGTGTGTATTTATTTGTGTGTCCCAGGGCCCCTTCAATCTGGTGCACCATCCTGACTGGGCACACCGGGTGGCCCGCGCAGTGCCCGAGAAGGGGCGGGCCCACTACGCCAAGCATTCGAACCCGAGCCCCGTGGGCAGACTGCGGACGACGGGAGAAGGCCGTGCGGGGGGTGACTGACCGCATGATGGCACTGAGCCGGGCCGCGTCTGCTTGGAAGGCTCCTCCGACGCTGCCACACCAGCTACGGCCCTCCGCATCCTTTCGGCCAGCCGGCCTCGACGCACACAGACTGTTGCAACCCTCTGGGGCCCGCTCCCGCCGCAGAGGGCTCGGCAACTGGATTTGGAGCACGGTGGGATGAGGATCCAAATGGCAATGCGGCTGCTCCAGGACAAAGCAATCGCGCTGCCGAAGAACGAACTCGAGTCAGAGATGAGGAAGAGCCCTCGGCGGCCGCCTCCGCATGAGTGCTATCCAGGGCAAGCTAGCGCCTCGTTCCCGCGCAGGCGCACCGCCAGTATCCCGGCGATGGAGGGCCCGGGACGCCAGCCCACCACCCTCCCCGCATAGCCCATCTTCTGCAAAGGCTCCCCTTCCCGCCTCCTGAGTCTTGCCTGAACCGCTTGCCCACCCCGGCCTCTCTTCAACGAGAACAAGAGGACCCCTGACCCTGATAACACGGTGAAGATGTGGCCTCACCTAGGTCTCCGTCTTCGCATCAGGGATAACAGTTGTGGGCACGTTTGGTCTGATACATCTGCAGAAGCAGACCCCCTGCCCCTGATGCTTTTGGCCCTCCCAACTTCGGTCCCGCCCCAAAGGCTTTTGAGTACCTCTATTGCCTATCATCTCTCTCGCCCCTCGCCAGCCGACGAGGTTCCTCGTCGTCGATGTCCCGAGGCCTGCCCGACTCGCACAGCACAGCCGGCTCCCCCCGATCGGCTCGTTCGCGGTGGGCCGCCGGGCCCACGGGGCCCACGGGGCCCACGGAGCCGAGCCGGCCTGCTTGTGGGCGCGCGCCCTCCCCTGGTGCCCGGTGCCGCCCTCTGCGAGGGGGGGGGCGCTCCGCTCTGCCACGAGGCAGGTCGTCAACGGCACCCCTGGGGCTCACATGCCAGCAGGGACGCAGGGACGGTTGCGCCCTCGTGGCGATCGTTCTCTTGTTCATTGTCGTGCCGATCGCCGCGGGCCCTCGCCCCCCCCCTTCCCCCTGGAGTAGATCCTGGCCGCTCTTGGTGCCTGCTTCGAGCAGGTGGTGCCTGCCCCCCATGGGACGCACTGCTGCAAACAGTCGCTCTGCGCAGTGGTCCGGGAGCCAGCCCCCCCCGCCCCCGCCCCCCCCCCCTCCTTCCGCCCAAAGGCGACATGCCAAATGGGGAAACGTTCACCTGGGGCTCACATTCCAGCAGGGATGGTTGCGCCATCGTCGGAGGTGGATGGACCTCCTACCCTGACACGTCGATTAAGGAATTGGCCGTTTTCGGTTCGCGAGAGGGCGTCGCGGCCGTCATTTTTGCGGGTCCCGGTCGGTTTCGGTCCCAGGCCGTTTTCATTAAGGGGAGGTTTATTAAAGGGAGGTCTGTCCATCGCCGACATCGTGTCCAAGCTGCCCCTGGGGTCGGTATCCCCGGGTCTACGGTAAACTTGGTTGGGCGCCAGGCGCCGCGCGCGCCAGGGTCGCTGAGCCCAAGGTCGAGCGGTGGCTCATGTAATGCCATGCCACCTGGGACCTTCACCCCTGAATGGAGCATGATCTTAGGATCTTACAGCCCTTCCTCCCTTCCGAGGGCTTGCATGGTGGGGATCTCACGTGACTTTGCTGTCGCTTGGACACTCGCTGCACTCATTTCGGCTGGCCGTGTCCGAGCAGGCGGGGCTGGGCGCGTCACCATAGTCATGCCCAGTGGCGCGGCAGTCAACATATGTGAGATGTGAATGGTTGAGAAACGGTGTCTCTTCGTCAGCCCGCCTCTGCATCCTCCTCCTCCTCCCCCCTCCTGATCCTTCTCCTCCTCCTCCTCCTCCTCCTCCTCCTCTCCTTTCCCCCTCGCACTCGATCCATCCCTCCTGCGACCGTCGGTCCAGGCAACAACGTCTATGGCCCCCACCAGTTCTACGAGAAGGTGATCCCCAAGTTCATCGCGCAGCTTAAGTCTGGCAGGCAGGTCACGATCCACGGCAGTGGGCCGGCTGCGGTCATGAGGGGGGGGGCGCTGGCGCGGATTATCCATGAGGAGGAGACGCATCGGTAGTAGAACGAGCGTGAGGGCGAAAAGGAGGAGGTGGGTAGACACGGTGTGCGAGGATGTGGGCAGGAGGGAGGGAGGGGCGCGTCGCGACGTTTCCGCTAGCCAAAGCCATACGATCCACTTCAAGAGCTCTGTTGACCTCGCGCAAGGGCCTCTGCTTCCGAAGACCCACATCCGAAGAACCCCTTGTCGGGAGAGAGGGTTGGGGAGAAGGGCGCCCAGGACGGAGAGAGGACTGAGGAGCTCGAAGGGTGAGGGTAGGGATGGGAGGCGGGTGGGGAGAAGAGAGGAGGGACGAGGGGAGAGCAGCCATGTTCGTCAACAACACGTGGCAGTTGGACAAGCGGATGCGAATCGTGATGCTTGCGTGTAATTGCCGGGCTCGCCGCCTACGGACAGGCTTGAAGCTGAAGTGCAGGCCAGATCAGCTTCTTATGTTATCGGAGTGAGGGGGTTCTGCTTACGCGATTCCAGTTCGAGTCGCGCACGTGTTGGTTGTGTCGCAGCGATCAAACGTCGTTGCGTTATTCCATGACGTTGGCGGCGTATCATTGGTAGCTTGCTGGGAGTTTGGCGAAGTGGCACGCAGCATCGAGAGTAGTGGCGCGGCACGCATACCAGGTATCCTTGTTGGGGGTGCTTGAAGGCTTCTTCGGAGTATCGAAGACGCCTATGGCGAATCACCGCCTATAGGATACACTTATGTAGCCAAACATTTGGGCAAAGTTTGGCCACGTTTTTGGACCATGTGTTCCGCTATCCGTTGTGGAAGCCCTTCGGGAAACACGTTGGGGAGGAAGAGGCGGATGAGCAGAAAGGAGCAAGGAGACTGAGGAGATCAATGTGGAGACCTCTTGGGAGTATCGTGGTTCACTTTTGGGGCCTCCCGCGGGCTTCCTGGGGGCCTCTTGGAGGCCTCTTGGGGGCCTCCTTGGGCCTTTTGGGGGCCTTGGAGTGCTCCTTGGCGGCCTCTTTGGTCGTCTTATGGCGTTCCTGGCCCGTCTGACGCCGTCTCAAGCCGTCTGGGGAACCTCCTTGGTCAGTCTTGGGGCCCTCTTGAGGCGCTTCAGGGCCGTCTTGAAGACCATCTTGGCCGTCTTGGAGGCCTCTTGGGCCGTGTTGGGGCCCTTGGGGGGCCGTCTTGGGAGCTTCTTGGGCCGTCCTGGGGCCATCTTGGAGGCCTCTTGGGCGATCTTTGGGCAATTTTGGGAGCCTCTTGGGTCGTCTCGTGCCGACGGGAGACCGTTTTGAATCAATGCCCTAGTCCTTCAAAAACCATAAGGCAATCAATATTTGTTGCCTCGTCGGGCTTTCTGGAGGACCTCTTGGAGGCCTCTTGGGCCGTCTTTGGGGCTTCTCGGGTGCCTCTTGGGCCGTCTTGGGCCATCTCCAGGCCATCTCGGGCCGTCTCAGGTGCATCGTGAACCTTCTTGGAGACATTTTGTGGCCACCTTGGCCGTCTTGGAGGCATCCTGGAGACCATCTTGGCCGTCTTGGAGGTATCTTGGGGTTCAATTTAGGCCAGGCAGGAGCGAGAAAGGCAACCATCCGGGCGAATTGGGGATGGTTCCAGGTGGCCGGCGGCACCGGCCGAAGCCCCAGGGGGAGTCTTAAAAAGAACCCACAGCCATCTGAACCTTAAGCTGGAGGCCCATGCCAAGAAACGCCCTGCTTGCCTCCAGGGTGCCCTTGGTTTCTTGGGTTTCGATGGTTTTGCTGTGGAGAGCGCGACGCTCCCACACCAAGCATCCATGGACGTCCTGGGGTGTCAGGGTTGGGTTTCTTGTGGAAGGTTTCTTGTGGTCGGGCTCCTACTGTAAATCAACAGGTGGCGGTGGATCCAGTGGCCTTCGGCCAATCCCGCCACCTGTGCTGTGCCTGGGTCGTGGACAGGAGACCTCGCTGGGAGGCTGTCGAGGCCTCTTAGGGGGATCTATCGGGGGCTGGTCGGGAGGCTTTGGTGGAGGAGTGGGCGGGAAGAGGAGGGGACAGGAACAGGATCGGGCGGAGGAGAAGGAAGAGGAGTGGGATGAGGACTATCGGGGGAGGAGGACCAGGAGAAGGAGAATACGGCACAGGAGGAGGCGGAGAAGGAGAAGAAACAGCAGGAGGAGTAGTAGGAAAGTAGCGCGCGCAGGAGCAGCAGGAAGAGCATTACAAGGATGATGGGGAAAGATTATGAGCATTATATCGAGGATGAAAAAGAGGGGGAACAGCTCGTCAGTCAGGCGGCGGCAACACCCGCAACTTCATGCACGTGCAAGACACCGCCAGCGCCTTCGACTGCATCCTGCACTCGGGATCCGTCGGGCAGGCGCACTCCATGGATTGCTTCGTTCAGCAGGGAGTTTGGTGAAGAGGAGAGGTAAGATGGCAAGAGGAAACCGATGGGGATGTCGAGAAGAAGCTGGAGGATAACGTGGGGATGATGGTCATGATGTCGACGACGACTACGATGACAATGGTGCGGCTGATGATGCTGAGAAGGATGTCGATGGGACATAGTGAGGAAGAGCGGCAGCAGCATGTGCACGACTACGAAGGATGCTATTCCAGCCACTCGCGTGCGCACTGTTGCTAAGCAGCGCCACTTGGCCAAAAGTCCAGGCATACGAACCCTGCCAAAGTGCACTCGAGTGTTGCGCAGACCTGAGGTTGAGGCATCCGGCATAGTCGTGGTCTGGCGATACGGCTGTCACGTTTAAGTAAGGGACGACGTTGATTTGGAAGGGGTTTCATGCTCATCATGTGCTCCCCTGGAATCCCAGCTGGACATGTTAACGCAATCTGCTCTCCGTGCCTTCTATCTTCCCTCACTCCTCTCACCTCCTCCTCCTCTTCACCCTCTGTGAAGCTCGTCTACAATGTCTGGAAGTGCCCCAGGGTTCTTAGGTTAGGACAGCACCATGTGCAGACGGTGTTGTTTCCAGTCCTAGGAGATGTTTTCAATGATATTGCCGTCAAGACTCATGCGGTACAATGTTTTGACACGTATCTTCAGAGGCAATGGTTGATAGATGTCCCCAGCTACACCGATGTCACTGAATTTGTCATCGCCAGCACGGATCGTGACATCACCCGAGGCATGACCGTGTCAGTTGGAGACGAGTGGGTCAAGTGTGTTGTTGAGTTCAAGGCGTTCTTGAACGAAAAGGTAGTTGCCACCTCGGTGTTCCCAAGCTCAGTGACAGAGGTCTGTCGAGAGTTAGGATTCGCCAGGGAAGCAGCTTCTATGAGCATCACGTGTCCAGGAGTTGACTGACCGTGCCTTGCACCGCGAGGCAAGAGAGGTATTCGTAGCGATCAGCGCTGTGGGTTTTACAACATATGAAATTCGACTAAGACAGCAACACTGGTTGGCCCTCGCTTTGGCCTTACGTCTGAGCTATCTTCCGCTGGAGCGTACGTAAACCAACTGGAGTTTTAACGGGTGCGTCGTTTCGAAGGCTGCAGTCGAGAACCCATTCCCCGCAGCACGGGCTAGTTCAAGAGCCGGGATTGCGGTTTCAGTCGGACGGGAGTGCTAGGTCGGCGCTAGCTCCAGCCTCCATTGGAGCAGAATGCTCTGGATTGCCAAGTATCACTCAGGCCGAACACTGTTCGCAGAGCACGTTGTGCAGGATGTTGCGCGAAGTTTGCGCTTGTCAGGCTACCACCTAGAAGGACAGCGCAGGGCTCTCGAAAGAGCGTGTTTCGCAGCTCGTCGTGCATGATGGGAAGCTAGCGAACCGTGCCTTTGGAGAGATTATAACGGCACCGAGCTTTCTGTAGATCGGTTCGTTCTGTCTTTGTTTGCCGACCTCATGGAGGCAGGCCCACAGCGCCAGCATGAGAAGGCACTGGCGCACCATATTGGTTTCCAACAAGGGCACGGTGCCACGTTTGACATAGTGAGAGATGCCCTCTGACCTAAGTCTAATGATAAGTTTTCGCGTTGTGATCGTCTCTTTGTGAGGGGCTGTTCTTGCGGCGTTTTTTGGACTGAAGGGCGGGTACGCCTGGCAGGATACATAGATTGGGCGTTGCGAATGCGAGCAAACACACATTACGCATCATCTGATTTACACTTGCAAATTGCCAGCGCTAGAGTTCGACCAGAGGCCGAGGTTCCAGAGATTGTTTGCAATTCGTTGGGGAGAGCAGCGACTTAATGTTTACCCAGGGTCTCTTCGAATCTGATTCCCCCCCCGGGACGCTTTACAGTGATTGTTGTGCTCCTACCCTATCAAGGAGCTAGCTGTTGATGGCTCTTGCACTTAGCGGAACCTGGGAATCCTTGGGCGCGCCGCGCGGGCTGTCGTGCTATTGGAACCCAGCGCTGAGAACCTTTGGGCGCTGTCGCGAAACCCCTCATGCCCTAGCTTTTGCGGAGCACTTGGGATATGCCTGAGCGGGACAAGGTTCTGACAGGGAGACCCACTTAGGCTTCGACGGTGCTGCAATGGTCGCTCGCACGGCCAGAACAAGGCCAGAGGAGCAGGTTGCATCCAACGGACGTGTTGAAGTGCGTTTGTTTGCTATTGAGTTGCCAGGCGCAGCGAACATCTCTTTCACTTGGTATGTGAATGCTCACAGAAGCGATGACATCAACAACCAGCTCAAGGGGGTATCGCTTGGCTGTAGTGACTGGGGCGGCTGAAGATCACACTAAGACACTTCTCGCCTCGCCACGTGTCCTAGCCCAAAGCCTAAGATCCCTCAGAGAGCTTACCTAGCCCAGGGCAGGTGTAATTATTTCTTTTATAGGACAGCAGCGTTGCCACGCTTCCAGCACAAGGGAGGGCGGACTTCGCCCCCATCCCGCAGGCGTGCTTTGGATAGGAGATCTGAGAGCTTCCACACTTGGGCGCAGTCCCTTATGGGCCTCCAGTGTAGCCAGTGCCTGGTGATAATCGATCCTGGACCGTCGCCGCCGACGGACGGCAGCAAAGGGACACCATCTTTTCTTGTGAAATTGTTGCAGGGCCCCTGAAGAAATCATATTGCTCCGGCTACGGGGGCGGGTCTGGGCAGTTCGGTCTTTGGCTTCCCTGCATTAATTCGTTTGAGAAGTTCATGTGTATCTCGTGTTGTGGTCCCCCACCGACCAGGAATGGCGTTGAGATTTTGCATGCTTTCGAAAAGGGTCTGGGCACCAATCCCAGAGTCCGTTCGATGTTGGACTACAGCATGCAGCATGCTGTTCCCAGCAGTTGAGGTTGATTATGTAACCTGTAACCGCAATGCGCCAGGTCATTTCTGCGCCAGTTCTCTCTGCGCCGAAAGGCGTGCCATCCTACGAGATACGCGCGCAGGCCTTGACCCAACGAGTCAAGGCCAATGAGGCAGCAGATTTCGTCCTTGCTGTAATCGCGTGACTGTTCTTTCATGTCGAACATCGTACGTCCTCCTCGTTCTTTTGTCCATCCTCTGGCCTCCGTCCATTTATTTGATTTCTTTGTCCCCCCTGCATTCCCCAATTTCCCTCCTCCCCAAATCACCCCTCCGCCCTCCCCAACTTGGCCCATCTGGGATGCGCCCGGGGGGGGGGTGGCGCTGGATGGGCCCCCCTGAGAAAACATCTGCCGACAGGGGGGAGGGGAGGGGGAGGGGGAGGAGGAGAAGGAGGAGGAGGATGAGAGGGAGGAGGAGGAAAAGGAGGACAAGGAGGAGGAAAAGGAGGAGGAGGAGGAGGAGGAGGAGGAGGAGGAGGAGGAGGAGGAGGAGGAGGAGGACAAGGAGGAGGAAAAGGAGGAGGAGGAGGACAAGGAGGAGGGAACGGAGGAGGAGGAGGAGGAGGGGGAGGAGGAGGAGGAGGAGAGGAGGAAACGGAGGAGGAGGAGGAGGAGGAGGATGAGGAGGAGGAGGAAACGGAGGAGGAGGAGGGGAGCAGGAGGAGGAGGAGGGAGGAGGAGAGGAGGAGGGAGGAGGAGGAGGAGGGGAGGAGGAGGAGGAGGAGCGGGGGCGAGGGCAACTCCGGTCCAAATCCGCCCCCCGGCCCCCTCCCGGAGTCCGCTCTTCGGGCCGCGCCCCCCGGGCGCGGCGACGACGGGGCCCCTCGCCCCGCTTCCCCCCCCCACACTGTTGCAGGAGCGAGCTCGGGGCCACCTCCGCCTCCCAGCCGCCTCCAAACTCGATTTCCCCAGAAGGAGGAGGACACTCAGGAGGAGGAAAACCACTCAGGGGACACTCAGGAGGACACTCAGGAGGAGGAAAACCACACAGGAGGACACTCAGGAGGACACTCAGGAGGAGGAAAAACCACACAGACACCATCCATCGTGGATTCCCCCCAAAAAATAGGGTCGGGGGCGGACAGACCCCCCAACAGTGACACGTCGATTAGTGAATTGTCCGTTTTCGGTTCTCGAGAGGGCGCCGCGGCCGTTGTTTTCCAGGCTCGCGCCCGCCAGGTTTGGGCCTCAGGTCGTTTTCACTAAACCACGTTTTACTAAAGGGGGTTCTGTCCATCCCCGACAAACGCCTCCTCCAGATTTCGTAAGAAAGGGAGGGGGGTCTCATTTCGGGGGGGGGTCTCTTCCAGGCCATCTCGGAGGGCCAGGGGGGGTCAGGGGCCGATGTTCTGGAGGGTTCTCCCACGGGGGGGGTCTGAAATGGCCTGTCTTGGAGGGTCCAGACCCCCTACCTTTGATTACGAAATCTGGAGTATCCCTCCATCGCTTTCCCTCTTGGACTCGAAGCGGACTCGCGTTTCGAGCCGCGTCCAGCGGCTGTGACGAGGGGGCCCCCCTTCCCCCCTTCTCCCTGGCCGGAGACCGCACTGGGCCGCCAGCCGTCGACCAGGCGATTCCAAACCCCCACCCATCCATCGCCCCTTCAAGCCAACACCCCTGCAGGAGGCTGCTTGCACCAGGGAAATACGATCCTACATAATGGCGTTGGTGATTACCCGTAAGGGTTTCGCCCTCACGCCGCTGGCCCCCCTCTCTTAGAATGGGACTTGCCGAAGCTGTGTTGGGATGTCTGGACGCTGACGTGAAGCAATGTCGGGACTTCACGCGAGGGCGAATATTAATTTACGAGGGTTTCTGGCTTCGGTGACACGAATATTAGGTAATCTATTAGGGGGCGCGAATATCGTGTACTTCGCGATTGTGTATGGCCTCGGGGACGCTAATAGTGTGTCATTTACTATGGTTTGTGGCCTCGGGGACGCGAACATGGTATAATTTAGCATTGTTTGTGGCCTCGGGGACGCGAATCTGGTATAAGTTACGAAGGTTAGTTGCCTCGGGGTCGCGAATGTTGTTTAATTTGCAAGGGTTTGTTGCCTCGGGGACGCGAATGTTGAATCATTTTTGGAAGATATGGCTTCGGGGGCGCGAGCATTCCGCAATTTATTTTGGTTTACGGTCTCGGGGGCGCGAACATCGTGTAATTTACAATGGTTTAGGGCCTCGGGGTCGCTAGTATGGTGTCAGTTACGATGGTCTGTGGCCTCGGGGACGCGAATATTGTATACTTTACGATTGTTTATTGCTTCGGGGACGCGAACATTGTATAATTTACGATTCGGGCACGCTAACCAGGATGCCTTTCGGCTCCCCCCCTCGCGAGTTCAGCAGCGATTAACAGTGAGGATGCAGAAAGCAGGACTGCAACAGTGGAAGCTGGAAGCTGCAACTGGAACGGGGAGCTGCAATCTTCACCCTCGCAGCCTCGTGGCCCCGCAAGGGGGCCGGCGGATATTTCGGCCACCCAGGATGCCCGGGTACTACCACCACCAACGATATCGGAGTCTTGTTCTTTTGGTGGGGTCACACCGCGCCGATATTGGCGTTGGTGTCAACTCGCGGGCCGCGAACGTATCCATGTCCACGCCCGAGCGGTCTCGGTCTGGATTCCGGGGCGCGATCCCGCAGACACGCGGTCGCACGGACACGTTCCGCGCGGGGCATCGGCGAAAAAACGCCCTGCATCCGTGAGGTTGCTGCTGTGGGGCTTGTATGTGGGATCGCGGCTACGGATTTGGTTTTCGCCCACGATCCTTTGTTCCCTGGCCCGTTTTGTGCCGTGCCTTGCAGGTGTACAATATCAGCGGCAGGAACGAGAAAACGATCGTCGAGGTCGCCGCGGACATCCTCCTCACCCTGGGTTCGGAGGGACGGTGCCGCGAGCTTGTGGCGCACGTCGCGGACCGCGCGCACAACGACGCTTGCTACCCGATCGCGGGCGCGAAGCTGGCGGAATTGGGGTGGCACGAGGATCGGCACGACGATCGAAACGGGTACGGGAAGAAAGGGTGCGAATCTTCGAATCTGGGCGTTGCAATGTTTTCGCGCCCGGCGTGTTCGCCGGCATTCGGGCCCCAGGGCCCCCGCGTACCGGTATGACTCGAAGAATGCAGCGGGAGGATGGGGTTTCGGGCTTCGGTCGCAATTTTTCAGGAGAGGAAAAAGCACACAGACACAATTGACCGTCGATTCCCCGGAAAATATGGGAAAATATGGGAAGTGGTGGGGAAAACAACAACCCAGAAAAAATGGGAAAATATGGGGAATATTTTTATCTGTGTGTATTTATTTGTGTGTCCTGGGGCCCCTTCAATTTTGCTGTGTCGAGGTGTTCTCCAAGGGCAAGGGCGAGCGACAGCAGTCCGTGGCCGCTCTGAGCACGGCTCGCGGCCGGTGCCGCCGCGGGCCTTCCACTGCCGCGGGCGGGCCAGCCTCGCCCGAGGCCCGCAGTCCAGACCTCCCGGCAGCGGCGATGATGCATCGTCGCTGCGGCGCGATCCCCCGACCCCATCTGCTCGGGCCCCAGCTGTTCACCACCCACCAAACCACCCCAACCCAACCCGAAGGTCTCGATCTGCCCTCCATTTCCAGTTGGGGGGGGGGGGTCGGGGAACACCGAGAAAGCACATGTGGAACCCGTACCCCCCCCAACCCGAAATGCGGGTCTTCGGGTTGGGTTGGGGTGGTCGTAGGATTGCAAAAAAAAAACGAAGGATTGCAAAAACCCCTCGTTTTTTGCAATCCTTCGTTTTTTTTTGCAATCCTTAGTTTTTTTTGCAATCCTTCGTTTTTTTTTTTTTTTTTTTGCAATCCTTCGTTTTTTTTGCAGGTCGTCAGGTGTGAGGCCTCCCTAGGAGCACAGCTGGGAGTTCGGGCTCGCGAACACGGTCGCGTGGTTCTCCGACAGGCTTGTCGGCGACGCGCCCCCCGGGGGGAAAGGGGAGGCAGAGGAGATGGCAGGGGGCCACGCGCGAACCCTACCCCTCCTCTCCTCCTCCCTCCTCCTCCTCCTCCTCCTCCTCCTCCTCCCTCCTCCTCCTCCTCCTCCTCCTTCCTCCTCCTCCTCCTCCTCCTCCTCCCTGCCCCCCACGGATTTCTGAGGGGGAGGGCGGGATTCACTTCGCGCGGGAGCTCCCGAGCGAAGTGAGCCCCACCCTCCCCCTCAGAAGTCGGTGGGGGGCAGGGGTGGGGCTCGCGTGTGGCCCCCCTATGTGGCCTTCTCCGGAGGCGCCGGGGGGCTCCTCATGGGGCGCATCCGCGCCTGCCGGGAGAGGAGCCGCCCGCGGCTCTGGAGAGGCCGAGGAAGCTTCTCGGAGGGCGGGAGGGCTCCCGAGAAGCCCCAGCGCCGCCGCCGTCCGAGAAGGTTTCAGTCGGGCCTGTCCCTCTAGAGGGGGGAATCTCCAAAGACAGTCCAAAAATAGTCTGGGGACGATTTTTTGACCATGGTTGCCCATGTGGGGGGTATTGTTTGAGTATTTTTAAGTTTTCGCTCAAAATCCCTCCTACGATCAGGAGGAGGAGGAAAAAACACACAGACACAATTCATCGTCGATTCCCCCAAAAATATGGGAAAATATTTGCAGTGGGGGGGAAGACAGAAACCCCGAAAGTACGGAAAACAATATGGGGGAATCCTTTTTTTTTTGTTTTGTTTTTTTTTTTTTGTGTGTGTGTGTGTGTGTGTGTATTTCTTTGTGTGCCCCAGGGCCCCTTCATGAGGGCAGGTCGGGCCCCCTCTGCCTCTGCCCCCCCCTCCCCCCCCGCGGGGGGCGCGCCGCCGAGGCTGGGCTCGCGGGCGTGCGACGTCGGCCGCTTCCTCAGCGCCCACCCGAGCCACCGCGCCAGCGACGCGCCGCTGGAGCCGCGCGGCCGCGGCGCGGGGGCGGACGCGGCCGAGGCCGCCGCGGCCGAGGCGCGGGACCGGGCGGCGCACCTGGACAGGAGCGGCGGGGCGCCCCTCTTTTTAGGGGGACACTCTGGAGGAGGAAAAGCCACACAGACACCATCCATCGTCGATTCCCCCCAGAAATAGGGGAAAATATGGTAAGTGTGGGGGGGGGAGACAGAAGCTTCTGAGACATGTGGGAGAACATGGGGAGTCCTTATTAGGGGGCGCCCCTTATTAGGGGGACACTCAGGAGGAGGAAAACCCACACAGGCACAATTTATCGTGGATTCCCCCAAAAAATAGGGTCGGGGGCGGACAGAACCCCCAACGGTGACACGTCGATCAGTGAGTTGTCCGCTTTCGGTTCTCGAGGGGGCGCCGTGGCCGTTGTTTTCCAGGCTTGCGCCCGTCAGGTTTGGGCCTCAGGTCGTTTTCACTAAACCACGTTTTACTAAAGGGGGGTCTGTCCATCCCCGATAGGGGAAAATATGGGAAGTGGGGGGGGGGGAAGACAGAAACTTCTGAAACATCTGGGGAGGACATGGGGAGTCCTCTTACTCGTCCGTATTTCTTTGCGTGTCCCAGGGCCCCTTCAGACATGCCCGACTTGAGACTGATGCCCCCCCTGAGGACGTGCAGGCGCACCTGGCCAGGACCGGCGGGGCGCCCCGATCTGCTTGCGGCGCCTGCCCGCTTCAGGGATCGAGCGGCTGCACCCAGTGTCGGGCCTCCTCGGCCTCGGGGCGGGCGGGCGCCCAGGTCCACCTCCGACGCCCTCCTGCGTCATGCTTCGACCCAGGTCTTCCGACCGATGGTCAGGAGGGGACAAAACCACACAGACACAATTCATCGTCGATTCCCCAAAAAATACGGGAAAATATGGGAAGTGGGGGGGAAGACAGAAGCCCAGAAAATATGGGAGAACATGGGGAATCCTTTTATTTGTGTGTATTTCTTTGTGTGTCCCGGGGCCCCATTCAGACACGCCCGACTTGAGACTGATACCCCCCCTGAGGACGTGTAGGCGCACCCGGCCAGGACCGGCGGGGCGCCCCGATCTGCTTTCGGCGCCTGCCCGCTTCAGGGATCGAGCGGCCGCACCTACTGTCGGGCCTCCTCGGCTGCGGGGCGGGCGGGCGCCCAGGTCCACCTCCGACGCCCTCCTGCGTCATGCTTCGACCCAGATCTTCCGACCGATGGTCAGGAGGGGAAAAACCACACAGACACAATCCATCGTCGATTCCCCAGAAAATAGGGGAAAATATGGGAAGTGGGGGGGGGGAAGACAGAAACTTCTGAGACACATGGGAGAACATGGGGGGTCCTTTTACTCGTCCGTATTTCTTTGCGTGTCCCAGGGCCCCTTCAGACGCGCCCGACTTGAGACTGATGCCCCCCCTGAGGACGTGTAGGCGCACCTGGCCAGGAGCGGCGGGGCGCCCCTCTTTAGGGGGACACTCTGGAGGAGGAAAAACCACACAGACACAATCCATCGTGGATTCCCTAAAAAAATACGGGAAAATATGGGAAGTGGGGGGGAAGACAGAAGCCCAGAAAAAATGGGAGAACATGGGACCGGCGGGGCGCCCCGATCTGCTTTCGGCGCCTTCCCGCTTCAGGGATCGAGCGGCTGCACCTAGTGTCGGGCCTCCTCGGCCACGGGGCGGGCGGGCGCCCAGGTCCACCTCCGACGCCCTGCTGCGTCATGCCTCGACCCAGTTCTTCCGACCGATGGTCAGGAGGGGAAAAAAAACACACAGACACAACGAATCGTCGATTTCCCAGAAAACATGCGAAAATATGGGAAGTGGGGGGGGAAGACAGAAGCCCAGAAAATATGGGAGAACATGGGGAATCCTTATATTTGTGTGCATTAATTTGTGTGTCCCAGGGCCCCTTCAGACACGCCCGACTTAAGACTGATACCCCCCCTGAGGACGTGTAGGTTTACACGCGGTTCTGCCCCATCGTTCGCTCTAAAGATGGATGACAGGCAGGCCGGCCGATGTCGACCCCCCCCCACACGCCATCTTTTTGGCAACACGTATGGTTCGCGCGCACGTATCACAAATCATCTATGGCCAAGAATCCCTCGGGAGCCTTGAGACGGGGGTCAGTGCAAACGGGGGTCAGCCAGAGACTGCCAGATCCTGCAGGATCCTGCGCAGGCCCCCTCTGGCTGGCCCAGGCTATAGCGAGGCGCTCGTGGCCGCGAGGCGGCCGCGCACATTGGCTGACCCGGGTTGGCGAAGACCTGCGTTGCAGTTTTTTTTTGTTTTTCCTGCATTGCAGCTTTTTGGTTTCCTGCTGACCCAGGTCTGGATGCACCCGGGTCAGAAGCTCCCCGAGGACCCTGTGCAGGGCACGGGGTCGGCGCGTGCGTCCTGGGCCGCCCGGGCGCTCGCGGAGGCTTCTCGGAGGTCCTGGAAGGCCTCGCAGAGGCCGCCCGGGCTTCGCGAGGAGCGTCTTGGATCTGGGGGTCCTCTGGGCGTCCCAGATGGGGTCGGAGTATAGGAGGTGGGGATCGGAGGATCGCGCCGCATCGCGCCGCATCGCCGGTGCATCGCCGGTGCATCGCCGATGCATCGACGATGCATCGACGATGCGTGCATGCGTCTGGGCCTCCCAGATGGGGTCCGAGTCGACGGGGTCGAAGGATCGCGCCGCATCGACGATGCATCGGCGATGCGGCGCGATGTGAGGCCCTCTGTTCTCCGCGCCGACGTCGCCGATGCATCGCCGACGTCGCCAGTGCATCGCCGACGCATCGCGATACATCGGCGATGATTTGGCGGTGTGGCGTTATCCTTCGACACCATCTACTCCGACCCCATCCAGGAGGCCTCTAGGAAGGACGCCAACTGCGCACCAGGGCCCAGGTCCCTGCGTGCAGAGGGTCGGTGCGTGCGTGCACCCTGCTGGACTGGCGGGGAGGGCGCGTGCGCCGACATCTCCAGACACCCTCTGGTCAGGAGGGTGGTAGGAGAGGCGGGGAGGGAGGGAGGAGGAGAGGGAGGGAGGGAGGGAGGAGGGAGGGGGGATGGGGGAGGAGGAGGAGGAGGAGGAGGAGGAGGAGGAGGAGGAGGAGGAGGAGGAGGAGGAGGAGGAGGAAAGTACGGCGGGCCTTGTTGTTGCAGGTTTTGGCCTCTGGCGGCCCTCGCCAGGCCCAGGGACCGTCAAGAAACGATTCGGGATGAAACACTGCAGCGTGCGGTCATCACTAGCACGAGGCAGCCATCCAGCACGGAGGCGCTGCGCTGCAGCGACGAGCTCAGATGCTGGATTCTCAAGGGAGCCCGACGGTGACGCCCGACGCCCTCGGAGTTTCGGGCGGCAGGGCCGTCTCCCTTCACTCGTAATTACGTCCATCAGTGCTTCACACACGCCGTGAAACTCAATTGCTTCCATGTCGTCGTGAAAAAAAAAACTATCCAGGGGAACGAGTCGAGACCTCTGGGTCGTCTTGGGTTCTGGGTCCTGGGCAGGGGATCGGCCCAGCCAGGCTCGGTGCAGAAGTGTCCACAGCCGACGCCCCAGCCTCAGCGACAGCCTCAGGGAGGCATCTGCTCAGGTCCAGGCCCCCCAGATGGGCTCCGAGTAGGTGCGGTCGGTGGATCGCGCCGCATCGCCGATGCATCGGCAATGCGGCTCGATGCGGGGCCCGATTTCCTCCACGCTGACGTCGCCGGTGCATCGCCGATGCGGCCCGATCTTCCGACCTCTTCTACTCGGACCCCATTTGGGAGGCCTCTATCAGGGGGGATGCATCGACCCCGAATCGGCCATTGATCGCCGATAGGGGGCCGAAAGCCCACCCCGCCCAATAACGTGCGCTCTCGCTATCGGGAGCCCATCGCCGATCTGTCGGCGATGTACAATCAACCCGCATAGTCAGGACGGGCAACCTTCCCGAGGGTATCCTTGCATCCTTGCCCCCTAGGCCCATCCTTGGCGACTTTCGCTGGCCAACCTTGTTCAACAAACGTGCACATGGGCCTCCAAGGCCCTGCATCCTTACTGCGCATCCTTATGATACGGACTGTCTGTATCGCCGGTTCCAGCTCGATGTTTCCCTCCCTGAGACGGTCCTACCTGACATGGCCCCCCATGCACCAGGGTCCATTTCGATCCGATCGGTCAGAGTCGATGTCGAGTCCGGCAGGCCCGATTCGATTCGATATCGATATTCCGACGAGCAGATGCGGCCCGATGCTTGCATGGTGTTGTTGTGCATTTTGGTGCAGCCGATCCGATTGGGTTCCGATTGCGTACCGATGCAGCCCGATCCGATGCACACTCCGATCCGATCCGATCTATCTCGATTCGATGCTGATTTGTGGTTGGCAGCTCGCCCCGCTCCGAGATCTTCGAGGAAGCGCAGCCATCCGATGCGCATCTCGATGCGATCCGACTTGCCGATTCGATGCTGGGTGGTCTTGAGTCGGGCAGGTCCCTCTACATGAGGAGAATTCAAACACAGTAAAATAATAGTCCAGACATGTTTTTTTGTCTACTACATTTGGCTATGTGTCAGTAATTATTTTTGGGCTATTGTTCATTTTTCTTCGAACATCCGCCTGTTGAAGGACATGCCCGACCTCTTCCTGCTCCTTCCCCCCCTCGTCCTCCACCTCGTGTTCCCCCCGCTCCTTCAAGCTCGAGTACTGCCTGACGGATCCTTCATCGAGCATGGAAGAAACCCTAACTCTAGCCACTCGAGAAGACGTGGCCTCACTGAGGTCCCCGTCTTCGCATCAAGGACAATCCATCTGGGCGGTTTGGTTCGATACGTCTGCAGAAAAGGCCCCTCTATCCCTAATGTTTTTGGCCCTCCTAACTTAGGTCCCCTCCCAAAGGGGCAGGGCTCCTTTTTTGGTCAGTCATCGTGCTAGCGTCGATTAGCGTCTGGGAGTCGATGAGAAAGCGCCGACTCAGCGTCGATTTAGCGTCGAGTAGCGTCGATTTGGTGTCGATTAGCGTCGACTCGCAAGAGCCGACAAGACGGTACAGTGGAAACCCATGCCAAGAAACACCCTGCTGGCATCCAAGGTGCTCTGGGTTTCTTGGGTTCTCGATTGTTTTGCCGTGGAAAGCGTGACTTTCCCACATCAAGCATCGATGGACGTCCTGGGGTCTCAGGTTTGGGTTTCTTGTGGAAGGTTTCTTGTGGAAGGGCCCCTACTGTATGGGAGGCTCCCATGGGTTGCCACCGAAGATGCTCTGTCTGCCTGCCTGCCTGTCTGCCTGTCTGTCTGTGTCTGTGTCTGTGTCTGTGTCTGTGTCTGTGTCTGTGTCTGTGTCTGTGTCTGTGTCTGTGTCTGTGTCTGTGTCTGTCTGTCTGTCTCTCTCTCTCTCGCTCTCTCTCTCTCTCTCTCCCTCTCTCTGGCCTCCCTATCCTCGTCTTCGCCATCAGGACACTCCCGTGAGTTGCTCCCGCGCCCGCAGGATGCACGCGCTGTGGGAGCGGGCGCGGCACGCCGGCCGCCTGGCGGAGCTCGCCGCCGCGGCGGCGCAGCTCGAGGGCCGCCTCTGGCCGGAAGCCGACGCCCCGCGGAGGGCGGGCCTCTGGCGGCGACGGCCGCAGGCGCCGACAGCGGAGCCGACAGCGGCGATGACGGACGACGACGACGACGACGACGACGACGACGACGACGACGACGACGACGACGACGACGACGACGGCGGCGGCGCCGGCGGCGGCGGCGACGACGGCGACGACGACGACGACGGCTGCGGCGGCGGCGGCGCCGGCGGCGGCGCCAGCGGCGGCGGCGGCGGCGGCGACGACGACGACGACGACGACGACGACGACGACGACGATGGTGACGTCGGGCGCGCGCCGCAGAGGTGATCGCCAGCGGCGACGCCCGCGGCGACGACGACGACGACTGGGGGCCACGATCGTCAGGGGAGGAAAAGGCACCCATGCCTCTGCCCCCTCGCCCGTTTTCCCTTTTTTGGGCCTCCTGAAAGGCCCTCGTCGCCACCGCTGGATTCGCTTCGAAATCCTGGTCAGAACGCACCCCAGTAGAGGTCCGGGGAGTAGCGGTATCGGTCCTTCTTGGTCTCCACAGATTGGCTTCGGCGCCCGCGGGCGTCCTGCGGCTCCTGGATCCCCCCTGGAAAGGCCCCCCCAGACGTCCCATGAGGTGCGTCTGGGCCGCGATCTCGAGAGGAGCCCGAGACCGTGGCGAGGAGGAGCCTCCCAGAACGGCCCCAGGGGCAGAAACCCTCCGAGGAGCTGATGGTTCGTCCCGACTCCAGGCTGATGGTTCGTCCCCTGAGCCGGCCCCCCCCCCCCCCTGTCCCCTGAGCCGGCCCTCCGAGGAGCGGGAGGCTCTCAAGAGGAGCCCCACCGTGGCGACGAGAGCATGCCGAGCCGCTGCCCCCAGGACTCAGCAAGAGCACCCGGACGCTGAGGACGCCAAAAGAAACGCCCGGCGCCAATTTTGTCACGACTCGAGGGCCTCCTCCTCCTCCTCCTCCTCCTCCTCCTCCTCCTCCTCTTGAGGAAGAGGAGGAAGAGGAGGAGGAGGAGGAGGAGGAGGAGGAGGAGGAGGAGGAGGAGGAGGAGGAGGAGGAGGACCTCCTCCTCTTCCTCCTCCTGTTCTGGCCGGGCGGGGCCAGGACGAGGACAGATCCGTTCCAGAGCGCTCCCGAGCGCTCGCAGAGCGTTCCCGCACCTCTGAGCAGGCCGCGGCGCCCCAAGACATCCTCCGGAGCCGCCGGATCTCAGGGATTCTCGATTTGCCCTCGCCCGATGTTATTTATCCTCGTCCGGGCCTCGCCCTGTCCTCGTCCCGCTTTCGTCCTCGATGCTACTGCCCTCGTATCCTTGTCCTCGCCCCGATCCATCGGCGAGGATCTGTAGATCGCGATCTACAGATATCCTCGCCCCGTGGTATCGCCCAGAGGCCCTGGCGCTCTCGGCGTTTCCTTCAGTGTTTCACAGCTTGCCTCGGGCTTTCCTTCTGCTTTCGACCGGAAACCGAAGGTTCACTTGTGGACAAACAGGGGCCTCGTTCCCTATGTAGGCTTCCTTAGGCCAACGCCCCGACTGTATCGCCCAGAGGCCCTGGCGCTCTCGGCCCTGGCCGCCGCGGCCGCGGCCCTGGCGGCGGCCGCGGCCCGGCGGCCCCGCGCGGGGCGCGCCGCCCCGCGCGGGCGCGCCGGCGGCCGCTGCTGCGCCGGCGGCCCGGCGCGGGGCGCCCCGCGCGGGGCCGTCGGGCGGCGCCGGCCGGCGTGCGGCCGGCGAGCGGCGGGCCGATGTCGGCGGCGCGCAGCCCAGGCCCTCTAGGCTTAGAAGTGGGGCCTGTCCCCCCCTCTACAGGGGGGATTTTCGACGAAAGTTAAAAAAAAAGACCCCAGCAATAGTCCAGACATGGCCTGGGGACTATCTTTTTTGAGTATTGTTTGGGACCTTTGGGGGGCATTTTTTGGGGTATTTTGGGGGCATTTTACGACGGAAGATAAAAGATACACCCAAAATGGTCCAAACATAGTGCAAAAATAGTCTGGGGATTATTTTTTGATTATTTTCTGACCTTTTTGGAGTATTGCTTTTTTTTCGTCGAAAATCCCTCTGTAGGGGGACAGGCCCGACTTAACTCTAGGCAGGCGTCTTGGATGAGGTCGGACCATAGACGGGTTCGGAGGATCGCGCCGCATCGCCGAGGCATCGCCGATGCGGCTCGAGGCAGAGCCCGATTTGCTTCACGCCGACGTCGCCGATGCATCGCCGGCGTCGACGATGCATCGTTGGTGCACCAGCGATGCATCGTCGATGTATCGGCGATGCATCGGCGATGCGGTGCAATCCTCCGCCGACCCCTTCTACCATCGGGCAATGAAAAAATCACGACGGGAGGTTTTTCGAAAGTTTCGACCCCTGGGGGCCCTCACCGGGCCCCAGGACCGTCAAGAAACGGTGCAGGATGCAGAGCCGGTCCTGGGAAATGGGTCAAGGCTGCTGGGGGCCGAAGTTATGAAAAAATCATGACGTGGGGGGTCTGGGAAAAGAGGGCGGCGCGAGAGGGGGGGCTTTCCAAGAAGCCAGGGGGGTTCTTGGAAGGGGGGCCGTTTAAAAGGCCTTGGAGGATCCCATCAATGATGATCATGATTCTCCAGTTAGCTGAGTTGGGTTTTGCCGTACAACCTGCAAAGCTTGCAAGCAATGCAGGGTGATGATTCAGAAATTATTGGGGGTCGTGTGCACGCGGCGGCGCCCTGTGTGATGATCAGAAAAACCGGCCTCGGTTTAGGATTTTTTGAATTGTTCCCCCGCCCCCCCCGCGATCTTCGGGCGCGCGCCCGGACGGCCGACGGGCCAGGCGGAATTGGAGCGGAAGGGTGGGATGAGGGGGGTCAAGGAGCAAGGAGGGGAGTCAACAGCACCGGTATGCAATTACAACGACGAACGGATAGGATGTGTGGTAGAAAATGGCTTCGGATCTGAGCGGGAGGTGCAGCATTACCAACTGTGTGCGGGCTGTACATATGGTCGTGCTGGGCATACGTTCGCTTTTGATCTGTCCTGGCAGTTGTTTCAATCGTTTCTGTAAGTTTGCCCACAAGAGTCGGAAACGCGTTTTCATCGCTCCACCAACATGATTTTTAATTGTCAGCCCGCGCTAGTCCTATAAGATATACGTAAAAGATTAGCTCGGCGGCATAGAAGGAACAATCGTGTTATATGTCCGTTTGTGTAGTATATCATAAACTTGCTAGGCACTACACAAAACATGTGCTGGCATGGGTTACGGACAACGCGCAAAGGTATACAGAAAGTAAGTCCGTCAGTCCGTCAGGACTTTGCGACATGATAAACTTATTGTTGGACCTGGACCAAAAGTATGCTGGCATGGGTGTCGGACGACGATCTCAGACAAATGGCGACACATGGCGCATAACACCGGTGGGAGATTGTTGGAAACCGTTTCGAATCAGATTGCACGGCCGCATGCGCGCATAAGACCAAACGGCGCTGCGCTTATTTGTCAACGAATGTTTCTGTCATGAGGTGGGCGGCGCGAGCCACGCTCATATGTTTGCAGCGGAGCGGGACGCTGACTTCCGAAGCTGATTTTTTGTTGGGATACAAGAGAGCAGCGTCACCTGGCCGCAAAAAACATAACAAACATCGTGTGTGGTTGTTGTTGTGTGTTTTTTTTTGTGTAGTGAATTACAGAAGCATTCAGCCGTGAACAATCCAGTCGAATTCGACGCCATACGTTGCGCGACAGGCACGATCGCACGCACATGTCCGTCCGATCTTCTCCGAAAGGGCACGGCCCAAGAAGTACACAGGACCATCCTAAAGAATAAACAGGACCTCCCAAGATGTACACAGGACCCCCAAACAAGTAAATAGGACCTGCCAACAAGTGATCCGGAGCACCCCACAAAGTAAACATATCCCCCCAAGCAAGTAGACAGTATACCCCAAAAGGCAACCAGCACCTCACATCAGCCAAAAATGACCCCGCAACAGGTACACAGGACTCCCCAGAAAATCAACAGGAACTCACAACAACGAAACAGGGCTATCTCAAAAGTAACGAGGACCTCACGAAAAGCACACAAGACCTCATAGCAAGTGAATGGGGACCCCCCAACAAGTACGCATGACCACCGCAACAAGTAAACAGGACCCCGCAAGAAAGTAGACAGCACATTTTAATCATAAGACACCAAAGAAGCACAGGATCTCCGAACAATTACACAGGACATCGCAGCACAGAAACATCATCACCTCAACAAGTAGACAGTACTACGCCCAAAGTAATTAATTTTCACAATTATCAGCACTCTCGCCTTTGTCATCGTCGACGCGACGATCGCGTATCGACGCGACGATCGCGCGTTATTTATAGGGCGGGTCTTTAAAATGATGTTCACCCCCGCGGTGGGTCAGTCAGGTTAGGTGGTTGATTTTCACATTCCCAACGAAACCAACGTACGTTAGACTGGCATTGCACAAGATACATCGCATCGGTCGCAAAACGCCGAGACAAAGACTGGTCAGTGCAGACCCGATCAGTTTCAATGGAGCAGAGGCGAGGGCGATGAGACATAAGCGCTGGAAACGAAGCACTGACGCTGGGAAGCGGGCCAGGATGACGACGAGGACGGCGAGGCGTGGAATTTGGAGGGCTGGAGAACGGGTTGGAACAACGCGCCGCGACCGATGGCAGCCGAGTTGCAGGGGCGGCCTGGAGAGGCGGAGGTGGACTGGAGACGCGGCCGTGGTGTGGAGAGGTGGGCTGGATGTGGCGCGAGGGAGGAGGTGGACTGAGAGGGCGGAGATTGGCTGGCGAGGTGGACTGGAAAGGCGGAGGCGCGCACTGGAGAGGCGGAGGTGGGGTGCCTCACTCCCGCTCGAGCCGCACTGGGCACTGCGGCGGGGCGCCCTTCAGCTGGCGGCACAGCCGCTCTGCGCTCGCTAGCAGCTTGGGAGGAGACAGGCGAAAAGCAGGGCACTGTTCGCGCGCGTCTATCCACCATGCGTCGCGACCAGGCCAATTGGATGAGCGGGCCCATTCATGATTTGACTGCGAAGCCATTGCCCCGACCCTGCGCGTCAGCGCAACATCTAGACTTCGCCGCTCATCCCATGGCCCGCCTGCGATGCCCAATATTCAACGCGCGTGGCATCCGAGGTCGGCGAAACCCCCATCCGGAAGCTGCGCGCCCAGGGATCGGCCAACGTAACCGACCGCAATCGGCCTGGGATTTCAGGCCACCGGACAGCTTGTCACCCTTCTGAGTCGCTGCTCTATCGCCAGCCCCGCTGCGATTGAACTTCCTCGCCCACCCGGCGCCCCCGCCGCGCGAGTGACCTGGCGCGCGCGCGAGTGGCTCGGCGCGCTCGCGAGTGGCAGCGGACCGGGGGCGAACTGCTGTAGCTCCTCGTCTGGGATCGCGACGCTGGTGCCGAGCCCCCTTGGCCCCTTGGAAGTCCACCGCGAACGTTGCCCAGCCCTGCTTCTCGGCGTCCCGCCGCGCGGCCTTCGCCGCGGCAGTGGGCGTCTCAGGCTCATTCAGGAGTTCCGCCTTGTCGGGCATCGCCCGCGGCGCGTCGCGGGCGACCTTGCCGCCGCCGGTATTTGGCGTCGAGCTCGGGCCCCTCATTCCTCTGCCAGCGCGGGGTGCGCGCCGTCGCAGGGGTGGTCTGGGGCTCGCCGCTGGGGGGCGGGCGCCGGGCGATGGCGCCGCCCTCCGCCTCGAACTCCTTGCGGTCGCACGCCTGCTCCCGGCGATGTCCCACTGCATCCTCTCGCGGTTCGACGGGTCGCGGAAGCCCGTCGGTGGCATTGCGCCTCGGCGGCGCGCGGGCCGCGGGAGTCGCGCGCGCTGGCCCCATCTCGCGAGCGCGGACGGCAGGTCGGCCCAGCGCGCTGCTCCACGGCGAGGGCAATTACGCGTCGATGTTTGCGTCGAGCGCGGCGCGCTGCGTCGCGGGTAGCGGGCGGAGTCGAGCAGCGTCGAATGCCCGCGGGGGTCGCGGCGCCAAAGCCGCGCCATCTTCGAGGAGAGGCTCGTGCCTCGAGGGTCGCCTCCGTCGCGCGTCGACGCGCGCGTTGATTTTCGCCGGCGACGCGGGGCCGTTGATTCCTGCGCGGGTTCGGGGCATTGCGCGCGGGGCAATGGACGTGGAAGGTGGCGGCCGTGGTGGCGCTGCTGTTGGCGGGCGGGTAGATGGGCGGGCGCGCGAGTCGGCGGGCGGGCGGGGGGGGGTGCGCTTGTGGGGCATGCGTTATTTGGCTTACTTTGGCATTTGAGGCCACCCTCGCTGCTGCGACAGCTCTCTCGGCTGTTTGGGGCGCGGAATCGAGGGCCCCCTCCTCCCCGTCTTGGGGCCTTTTTGGGCTCCGGGACTCCCTGGGGAGGCGTCGTATCTGACCCCTCCCCCCTCCCTGGGACCCTCCCCGGGACCCCTCCCGGGACCCCCTCCAGGACCCCTTCCCGGGACCCCCCCCCCCCGGGCGGGGGAGGGATCGAAGGGAAGGGGCTTCCCTTCGACTCCACTGCGACGTTGATCAACTTCGCTTGGGTTGGCGCGCTGAGGAGGTCCCTGGGAATGGGGGGGGGGGAGCTTCGACGAGCCCAGGGAAAACGACCAACGAATGACGGAGATGACGACTTGAACGGACAAGCCCCTCACACACGCCAACAGGGTCGGCAGATTTCATATTTGTTCAGGACTTCAGGACCTTCGATTTGTCAACCCATACGACACCCAAGGTTTCGAAAAGGATTCCGGCATGATCGAAAAGGATTGCCCCATGTTTCGCAAAACATCATTGGAAATTGATGATTTGAGATAAGCGAAAGCTTGCGCACAGTAGCATTTGACAAGAATGAGCGGGGTCGGAACTGGCTTGGCTCGGATGGTATGAGCGCTTTTTTTGTATACTACAAAATACGAACGAGGGAGCATAATCATGTGTGAAGAGGCCGCTGTGTCTGGCCTCAAGGGGGCGATGTGATGCAATCTATGTTGTGCGCATTCGACGTGGTGCAATTTTTGTGGTGCAATCTGCGTGGTGCAATATATGTTGCGCTATCTATGCGGTGCAGCATATGTGGTGCAACCAGTGCGGCGCAATCTGTGTGTGGTGCAATCTACGTTGCGCAATCTATGCGGTAAACCGATGTGGTGCAAATCTATGCGGCGACGGGGCCGCGACGGCGAACACGCAGCCGCCAGACAGGCACGCAGGCCCAGACGAGGCGCAGCGACGAGGCTGCGACGAGGCGGCGACTTCCGAGCACGGAGCCGCCAGACCGGCCCGCAGGCCCAGACGACGAGCGGCGACGGCGAGCACGGATCCGCCAATCCAGCCCGCAGGCCCAGTTCATTAGAGAGAAGTGAGAACCTGTGAGTACAAGCGTGGTTTGAGGAATGTTGTAGCATAGCTGTACGTTCTTGTGGTTGCGCATGCTGCGAATGATGGTTCAGCTTGCACGAGGCAGGATTCCTTCCTTCCAGCAGGGCCTTCCAAGAAGGCCCCCCTGTCCTCTCGGAAGCCCCTCGGCGTCTTAGAAGGCCTCCCCCCTCGCGCCAACCCCCTTGCGCGCACCGCCGGTGATAATTGGGCACCGTGGGGCGCTGGCGGCCTCTCTCCCGGGGGCGGCGACGGGGTCGGCGGTCCGGGGCCCGGACGTGCTCGCGCCGTCTGGGAAACCAGGACGGGACGTTCTGTGACGCGTGCGGTCTCCCTGGTGGTGGCATGCGCTGTGTGACCTGGGGCCGTCACGAGACTCGGGCCGGGCGAAAGGGGGGGATTGGGAAAGGGGGGGTTACGACATTTGCTGCATGCAGCTGGTTTCGGCCTCACCGAGGGGCCCATTCCTCGATACATGGCCGCCTCCGGCGCCGGGAGGCGCCGGGAAAGTCAGCTACGCGAGCTGATTCTCAAACCCCCCCTTTGCTATCCCCCCCTTTCGCCCGACCCGAGAGACGACGCGGGATGTGCAATTTGCCATTGGGAGGAGGCCCACAGTTCCAGCGGGGTCCACGCGGAAAGAAGTCAGGACGTCGCATGCGGTCGGCGGTCCATAATGTGCAGGGACTCAGAGGGGGGCGAGCCGAGACAGTGGCAGTTGGCCTTTGGGGGGGACCCCTCTTCGCCACGGCTGGACGCAGCTCGGATATAGCTGGCGCGTTCGGACCCGCAGAGGGGTCCAGGGACCGATGCCGTTGTCTCAGCTCGCCCCGCTCCGGAAGATGGGTTCTCGAGGAGCAGCTCCCTGACCAGCGTCCCTGATCGCCCACTGATCGCCGATGGGGGCCCGATAGCCCACCCTGTCCAGGAACTTCTACCGGGGGCCAGGCGGCGACGTGTCGCCAATGCCAGGTCGATGCTCCCCCGCTAGCCAACTCCCCCCCCGTTATGTTGCTGACCCTCGCCTGGAGACAGAGGGGAAGCTGAGCCTTCTGTGTCTGGAGCCGCTCGTCCTCAGGGCCACATCCCTTACAGTGGAAGCCCATTTCAAGAGACACCCTGCTTGCCTCCAGTGTGCCCTGGGTTTCTTGGGGTGCGTTGGTTTTGCGATGGGAAGCGAGACGCTTCCACACAACAAATCAGTGGACGTCCTGGGGTCGCAGGCTTGGGTTTCCTGTGGAAGGCGTCGTGTGGTCGAGCTCCTACTGTAGGGCCCCATCTTTGAACCTCCGACGGGGGCGGGGACTGGCCCGGGGGGGGAGGGGTCGACCCCCATGGCCAATGCATCGCCGATCGGTGCCTGGGTGTCCTTTCCGGCCTAGGATTAAGTCGGGCTTGTCCCTCTACAGGAGGAATACTCAAGTTATCCCGGCAAAGCAACCTAACAGCGATGTGTAGGAGCATATTTTGGAGCATTCCCCTTAAGATTCAGATGAGAATCCTGTTGTAGAATTCTGCTGTTCTCGCAGTCGTAGTCGCATTCGCGATGGCAGTCGCAGTGGCAACGGCAGTCGCAGTCACAGCCTCAGCCTCAGCCTGCATGTGCCTCAGCCTCAGCCTGCCTCAGCCTCAGCCTCAGCCTGCCTCGGCCTCAGCCTCAGCCTGCTTCAGCCTCAACATCAGTCTGCCTTCAGCCTCGGCCTCAGCCTCAGCCTGCCTCAGCCTCAGCCTGCATCAGCCTCGGCCTCAGCCTCAGCCTGCCTCAGCATCAGCCTGCCTCAGCATCAGCCTCAGCCTGCCTCTGCCTCAGCCTTCAGCCTCAGCCTCAGTCTGCCGTCGGCCTCGGCCTCAGCCTCAGCCTCAGCCTCAGCTGCTCAGCCTCAGCCTCAGCCTCAGCCTGCCTCAGCATCAGCCTGCCTCAGCCTCAGCCTCAGCCTCAGCCTGCCTCAGCCTCAGCCTCAGCCTGCTTCAGCCTCAGCCTCAGTCTGCCTGCAGCCTCGGCCTCAGCCTCAGCCTGCCTCAGCCTGCTAGGATGTTAACAATAAGTTCTAAATTTATGAACTTAGACTTACGATCCAGACGGCAGAAGTAAGAATTTATGCATGCCAACGAGATCAACCGTTGACCGTATATGAAATCAGATGAAATGGCGGGTATTTTCGAAAGCACGCGTTTTTTTCTGCTGTCGGGCTGCGCTCGGTCTTCGAACTTGCGCCACTTTTTCGGATGATAATTGACGACCTGCGCAGCTTTTTTGATTGGGAACCGACGAGCTGCGCAACCGTTTCCGCTTTGTCGGGCTTTTTGGAAGAGAATTGACGACTTGTGCAGTTTTTGAATTGGGAACCGACAAGTTGTGCAACCTTTTTCGTTTTTGTTTTGTCGGGCCCAGCTCGGTTTTCGAAGTTGTGCAATTATTTTGAAAGAGAATTGGCGATTTGTGCAGCTTTTTGATTGGAACGGACGAGTTGTGCAACTTTGTTCGTTGTGTCGGCCCGGGCTCGGTTTTCGAAGGTGCGCAATTTTTTTCCAGAGAGAGTTGACGATTTGTGCAACTTTTTTGATGGGGAACAGACGGGTTGTACAACCTTTTCCGTTTTGTCGGGTCGGTCTCGGTTTTCGAATTTGTGCAAGTTTTGTTGACAGAGAATCGACGGTTTGCGCAGCTTGTTTGATTGGGAACCGACAGGTTGTGCAACCTTTTCCGTTTTGTCGGGTCCGGCTCGGTTTTCGAAGTTGTGCAATTTTTTGGAAAGAGGATTGACGACTTGTGCAGCTTTCTCGATGGGGAACCGACGAAATGTGCAACCCTTTTCGTTCTGTCGGGCCGGGCTCGGTTTTCGGAGTTGAGCTATCTTTTGAAAGAGAATTGAGGACTTGTGCAGCTTTTTGATTCGAAACCGACGGGTTGTGCAATCTTTTTAATTTAGTCGGGCCGGGCTCGGTTTCCGACATTGTGCAGTTTTTTGTGAAGGAGAGTTGATGACTTCTGCAGCTTTTTTGCTTGGGAACCCACGGGCTGTGCAACCTGTTTCGTTTTGTCGGGCCCAAGCTCGGAAACCGAGCCAGGCCCGACAGAGCGGAAAAGGTTACACAAGCCGTCGTATCCCAATCAAAAAGCTGCACATGGCGTCAGTTCACTTCCAAAAAGGCTGCACAACTTCGAAATCGAGCCCAGCCCGAAAAAACAAAAAGGGTTGCACGACCCGTCGGTTCCCAATCAAAGAAGCTGCACAAGTTGTCAATTCTCTGTCAAAAAAGCTGCACTAGTTCGAAAACCGAGCCCGGCCCGACAAAACGGAGAAGGTTGCCCAACCCGTCGGTTCCCAATCAAAAATGCTGCACAAGTCGCCAATTCTCTATCAAAAAAGCTGCACAAGTTCGAAAACCGAGCCCGGCCCGACAAAACGAAACAGGTTGGACAGGCCGTCGGTTCCCAATCGAAAAAGCTGCACAAGTTGTCAGTTCTCTTTCAGAAAAGCTGCACAACTTCGAAATCTGAGCCAGGCCCGACAAAACGAAAAAGGTTGCACAGACCGTCGGTGCCCAATCAAAAAGCTGCACAAGTCGTCAATTCTCTTTCAGGAAAGCTGCACAAGTTCGAAAACCGATCCTGGCCGAACAAAACGGAAAAGGTTGCACAAGTCGTCGATTCTTCATCAACAAAGTTGCACAAGTCGTCAATTCTCTGTCAAAAAAGCTGCACAACTTCGAAATCCGACCCCAGCCCGACAAAACGAAAAAGGTTGCACAACCCGTCGGTTCCCAATCCGAGACACTGCACAAGTCGTCAAGTCTCTGTCAAAAAAACTGCACAAGTTCGAAATCCGAGCCCGGCCCGACAAAACGAAAAAGGTTGCACAGAGCGTCAGTGCCCAGGCAAAAAGCTGCACCAGTTGTCAGTTCTCTTTCAGAAAAGCCGCACAAGTTCGAAAACCGATCCTGGCCCGACAAAATGGAAAAGGTTGCACAAATCGTCGATCCTTCATCAAAACAATTGCACAAGTCGTCAATTCTTTTTTTCCGAAAAGTTGCACAAGTTCGAAAACCGATCCTGGCCCAACAAAACGGAAAAAGGTTGCACAAGTCGTCGGTTCTTCATCGAAAAAGTTGCACAAGTCGTCAATTCTTTGTCAAAGGCTGCACAAGTTCGAAACCGAGCCCGGCCCGACAAAACTAAAAAAGTTGCACAACTCGTCGGTTCCCCATCTCAAAAGCTGCACAGGTCGTCATTTCTGGGCAACAAATTTGCACAAGTTGGAAAACCGAGCCCAGTCCGACAAAACGAAAAAAAGTGCGCGACCCGACGGTCGCCCACTATCACAGCTGCACAAGTCGTCAATTTTCTGTCCAAAAAGCTGCGCAGTTTCAAAAATCAAACGCCTGGTCGCGCGCGTCCGCGAACTTGCTGAATTTACGGGCCCGGCGTTAATTTAGTCGATGTTTTAATTTACGAACTTGAACTGAAGTCGAGGGGGGCGTTAACATCCTGAGCCTGCCCCAGCCTCAGCCTCAGCCTCAGCCTGCCTCAGCCTCAGCCTGCCTCAGCCTGCCTCAGCCTCAGCCTCAGCCTGCTTCAGCCTCAGCCTCAGTCTGCCTTCAGCCTCGGCCTCAGCCTTTGCCTGCCGCAGCCTCAGCCTGCATCAGCCTCAGCCTCAGTCTCAGCCTGCCTCAGCATCAGCCTGCCTCAGCCTCAGCCACAGCCTGCCTCAGCCTCAGCCTGCTTCAGCCTCAGCCTCAGTCTGCCTTCAACCTCGGCCTCAGCCTCCGCCTGCCTCAGCCTCAGCCTGCATGTGCCTCAGCTTCAGCCTCAGCCTGCCTCAGCATCAGCCTGCTTCAGCTTCAGCCTCAGCCTCAGCCTGCCTCAGCCTCAGCCTCAGCCTGCTTCAGCCTCAGCCTCAGTCTGCCTTCAGCCTCGGCCTCAGCCTCAGCCTGCCTCAGCCTCAGCCTGCATCAGCCTCAGCCTCAGCCTCAGCCTGCCTCAGCCTCAGCCTGCCTCAGCCTCAGCCTCAGCCTGCCTCAGCCTCAGCCTCAGCCTGCTTCAGCCGCAGCCTCAGTCTGCCTTCAGCCTCGGCCTCAGCCTCAGCCTGCCTCAGCCTCAGCCTGCATCAGCCTCAGCCTCAGCCTCAGCCTCAGCCTGCCTCAGCATCAGCCTGCCTCAGCCTCAGCCTCAGCCTGCCTCAGCCTCAGCCTCAGCCTGCTTCAGCCTCAGCCTCAGTCTGCCTTCAGCCTCGGCCTCAGCCTCAGCCTGCCTCAGCCTCAGCCTGCATCAGCCTCAGCCTCAGCCTCAGCCTGCCTCAGCATCTGCCTGCCTCAGCCTCAGCCTCAGCCTGCCTCAGCCTCAGCCTCAGCCTCAGCCTGCTTCAGCCTCAGCCTCAGTCTGCCTTCAGCCTCGGCCTCATCCTCAGCGTGCCTCAGCCTCAGCCTGCATCAGCCACAGCCTCAGCCTCAGCCTGCTTCAGCTACAGCCTGCCTCAGCCTCAGCTTCAGCCTGCCTCAGCCTCAGCCTCAGCCTGCTTCAGCTTTAGCTTCAGTCTGCCTTCAGCCTCGGCCTCAGCCTCAGCCTGCATCAGCCTCAGCCTGCCTCAGCCTCAGCATCAGCCTGCCTCAGCATATACATATATCGGCGCACCGGGTCCGGGGGCCCGGGGCCGGGACCCCGACCGCAAATGTGCACCCCGGGGGGCCCGGAGGCTCGTCGGGGCTTGCCGGAGGCCTCCCCAATCAGGCAAGACGGCCCAAGAAGCGCCCAAGACGGCCCAAGAAACTTCCAAGAGGCCTCCAAGAGGGCTCCGAGATGCTGAAGATGGCCTCCAGACGTCCAAGGACGCCCCCAAGAGGCCCCAAGAAGCCTCCAACATGCGTCCCAAGAGGGCCCCTAGACGCAAAAATTGGCCCATTCCCTTCGTAAAACGTACATTTTCAACAAAGTTGTCTTTTGGGCTTTCCGACGTTACAGGACGGCCCAAGAGGCGCCCAAGACCGCCCCAAGACGGCCCAAGAAGCTTCCAAGAGGGCCCCAGGACAGCCCAAGAGGGCCCCAAGACGGCCCAAGAGGCGCCCAAGATGGCCCAAGAGGGCCCCAAGACGGGCCCAAGAGGGGGCCCAGAGGAGGACCACGAACCGCAAGCTCGAGCCTTCCGCCCCAAGAGGCCGCCAGGAGGCCCCCAGGAGGCCCCTCAAGAGGCCCCGGGAGACCCCAGACGTCCAAGGACGCCCCCAAGAGGCTCCAAGAAGCCTCCAACATGCGTCCCAAGAGGGCCCCTAGACGCAAGAATTGGCCCATTCCCTTCGTAAAACGTACAGTTTTAACAAAGTCGCCTTTTGGGCTTTCCGACGTTACAGGACGGCCCAAGAGGCGCCCAAGACCGCCCCAAGACGGCCCAAGAAGCTTCCAAGAGGGCCCCAGGACAGCCCAAGAGGGCCCCAAGACGGCCCAAGAGGCGCCCAAGATGGCCCAAGAGGGCCCCAAGACGGGCCCAAGAGGGGGCCCAGAGGGGGACCACGAACCGCAAGCTCGAGCCTTCCGCCCCAAGAGGCCGCCAGGAGGCCCCCAGGAGGCCCCTCAAGAGGCCCCAGGAGACCCCAGACGTCCAAGGACGCCCCCAAGAGGCCCCAAGAAGCCTCCAACATGCGTCCCAAGAGGGCCCCTAGACGCAAAAATTGGCCCATTCCCTTCGTAAAACGTACATTTTCAACAAAGTTGTCTTTTGGGTTTTCCGACGTTACAGGACGGCCCAAGAGGCGCCCAAGACCGCCCCAAGACGGCCCAAGAAGCTTCCAAGAGGGCCCCAGGACAGCCCAAGAGGGCCCCAAGACGGCCCAAGAGGCGCCCAAGATGGCCCAAGAGGGCCCCAAGACGGGCCCAAGAGGGGGCCCAGAGGGGGACCACGAACCGCAAGCTCGAGCCTTCCGCCCCAAGAGGCCGCCAGGAGGCCCCCAGGAGGCCCCTCAAGAGGCCCCAGGAGACCCCAGACGTCCAAGGACGCCCCCAAGACGCTTCGCGTCACCAATTTCTTCTCGCAACGATTCCTGGGTCTGTGACTCGACAGAACCTAAGCGCGCGCGAAGCGCGCGCGTGGTTCTAGTTCAACATGTGGCCCGGGAATGGAGTTCTGGGAACTCGAAGAACACGAAGTGGCCTACAGTTGGCTCCGGGCATTCAAAATCATGTCCACGGATGGAGTTTTGGGAACTCGAAGACCACGAAGTGGCCTACAGTTGGCTCCGGGCATTCAAAATGTGGCCCGGGAATGGAGTTCTGGGAACTCGAAGAGCACGAAGTGGCTTACAGTTGGCTCCGGGCATTCAAAATGTGCCCTGGAATGGAGTTCTGGGAACTGGAAGACCACGAAGTGGCTTACGATTGGCTCTGGGCATTCAGAATGTGGCCCGGGAATGGAGTTTTTAGCCAACAGTTACACATGTGTAACTTGGCTAAAAAAAATCCCCGGCACTCTCCCGGATCGCGCCCAGACCCCCCTGGGGCGTCATGATGCTCTCTTTTGACCCTACTAGTAACCTATCTGTCTTCGCTGTTAGGTAAAATAGTAAATAAATAGTCAGGGGACGATTGTTTGACAATTTTTTGAATGTTGCAGGGTTTTTTTCGACTATCTTGTATTATTCGTCCAAAATCCCCCTGTAGGGGGACAGACCCAACTTAAGCCTAATAGTGTCTGGCCTCGCTAGAGGCCTACAGTGAACCGCACAGTAAGGACCAAGGCCGAGCAACCTTCCAAGGCTACCCTTGCATCCTTGCCTCCTCGGGCCATTCTTGGCCACTTTCGCTGGCCGCGCCCCGCTCGCAGAGTGTCGACATGGCCTCCCGAGGCCCCTGCATCCTTACCGTGCGTCCTCATGACACGGGTTGGACGCACCGTGGATGCACCGCCGACTCCAAGTCAATGCTTCCCCCTTGAGCCGGTGCCCCCCTTTCGTTCCCCCTCGTGTTCGCCATGAAGGGAAGGAGACGGGATCCTGAGGGGAGCGGGGGCCCCAGTCCCTGGGGCGTTGTTCCCCAGGGCCCCTTCTTCATCCTGGCTCGTTTCTTGGCGCTCCCAGGGCCCGTGGAGGGCCCAAGGGGGCGAAACGGCGAAACAGATCCCGGCCCAGAACCCGTGCCTCCAGGTTCCGGTCCTTTCATACGCTGTCGCGGCCGTGGCCCACGCCTCGTCTCACCCTGCCGCCACGATGTGGGCCTCCCAGATGGAGTGCGAGCAGGGATCGCGCCGCATCGCCGATGCACTGGCGATGCGGCTCGATGTGGAGCCAGATTTCCACGCCGACGTCGCCGATGCATCGCCGACGCATCAGTGATGCATCGACGATGCGGTGCAATCCTCCGACGCCCCATCTGGATGGCCTCTACCCAGGGCCCGCCCACCAAGAGGCGGGGCTCCGTTCTCCAGCGCGCGCTTGCCCCTGCTCCTCCCCGGTGCCAAGCGTCGGGGCGGCCAAGGGGGGGCCGCTGACTCGGGGGGCGGATCCCGTGGCCGGGGCCATGACATCAGCCCGGATCCGATTGCCCCCTCTCTTTCTTTTAAGTCGGGCATGTCCTTCTCTACAGGAGGAATATGCAAAAGTACTCAAAACATAGCCTGGGGACGATCTTTTGAATACTTCTTGTTGGCCACTTTTGCATATTTGCTGAATCTTGTTCGTCTTCCCTCCAAACTTTGCCTGTAGGGGTCATGCCCGACCCAATCCTTTTTTCAATGCGTTCCTTGGTCCCCCCGTCCTCGCGCACGCCTCGGGCCACGACTAACGAGCCCGCCCCCCCTGGGCGGCCCCCTCTCCGGACGCCCTCGGCGGTGAGTTTTCTGCGGCGCCCCCCCCCCCCCCCCCGCGGGCGGGGGCGGCGCCGTGCAGCAGGGGCGCGTTCGCCGCCTTCGGCGGAGAGTGCTCGACCGCCGCCGACCGCTCGCCGACAGGCCGCCGCCGCCGCCGCCGACCGCCCCCCCCCCCCACCCAGCCTCGGAAGAACAACGATTTGCTTGGCATTGCTTGGCATTTCTTGGCATGGCTTCGCAATGCTTGGCATTGCGAGGAACCCGAGGAACCTCGGAGGAACAGGCAAAATAAGCCCCCGACACATAATATTATTGTTAATACTACGGGTAGTGTTACGAATCAGATTAATAGTAGTATTCTCAAGACGGATAAGACGACTAGTAGTAGTACGAATTCAAGTGCTACTAATCGTACCATTACTAACAACGACCATACCAGCAGCAACAGCAACAACAATACTGACAAGGGGCTCGCGGCTCCTGTGGTCCTTTCTGCGGCCGTTCCTCTAGCCCTCCTCGTGTCACCCTGGCGCTGTTGGCGCCAGGGGCTTCGTTTCCCATTTCAGCGTTCCATTATCAGCCCGACTGTAGTGGCAGGAAGGCCTCGCTGACCGTGCATCGTTGAGCAGAGCACGCGGCGAAGAAATACAGCAAACAAACATTAATTATATATTAGTACGAATAAGAAACTGGTACTCATAGTAATAGTAGTAGTTAGAAGACTAAGAAGAGTAATGAGACGAACACTACGACTAATAATAGTATTCGTATTCATTCCACCATCGTACTACCATTCGTAGTAATAGAAAGGAGAAGGAGAAGGAAAAGAAGAAGGGATGAGGCAGGGAGTGAGAGGAGGTGCCAGGGAAGGACGGGGAGAAAGCGAGGAGGAGCAGAAGCGATGGTGTGTGGCAGCAGCAGGAGCGGGGGGCAAGGGGCCCGAAGGGAATGGAGGAGGCCGGGCGAAGCGGAGGGAGCGGCGGGGCGAGGAGGGCAGCGGGCGCCGGCGCAGGCTTATGCTCTGGGCTCCGCGCAGGGCGCCGACGGCGAGCAGGCAGGGTAAGAGGCTCGCCCTCCTCCCTCGCCCTCCCCCTCTGGGCCCTCCTCCCTCGGGCGCGGGCGGGCTGCTGCCGACTCCCGACGAGCCAAGACACGGCAGGAGCCTGAACCTCCGGCGCAGATCCGAGAGATCCGCGCGGACCTCCCAAAGTTTAGGGCAATGCAGTTGTTCCTTCCTCTACTCTTGGCTCGTGGGCGACGACCAATGGAGAGGAGGCGTGTTGCCCAATCATTTTCAGATATCTAAGGCATGTTTTAAGCATCTAAAACCTGTAAACACACGCTTCAAACGTGCGTGAACCTTTCCGACACTCTGACATGTGTTAGTTCTATGATCGGATTTGCAGGGTGCCCATTGCCATGGCATCCTCAGTGCTTGCCCTCCTCCCTCGAGCGCGGGCGGGCTGCCGCCGGCTCGGAGCAGGTGTGCTCCCTCGGCGGCCCTGCCGCGGGCGGCGCATACCCCCCGGGGGCCTCCCGGGGATCGGCGGCGCCGAGCGGCTCGCGCTCGGCCTCCGCCTGCCCCCGGGGGAAGGGAGGGGGAGGGCGGGGAGAGTCCCGAGAGAACTAACAGATGGCACACATCGGGGGCGGAAAAGAGGGGTGTGATGACTAACTAGGGGGGGGTGGATATCCTGGCGTGGGCCAGGATATTTCCCCAGATTTCATGGCGCCTCTTCTTATCCCATTACGTCCCTGGCCCCCCCGCTGGGCCGCGCACATGCCGCCGGTCATGATTTGCACCCGCCCCTCTTGGACACCGCCCTCTTGGCCGCTCCCGAACACACGTCGGTTGTTGATCTTGGGTAGGTCTGGATCCCCAGATCCGAATCTACTTTGGCCTTGTGGAAGGCGATCGATGGAGAGAAGGCATGTTGGCAAATGATTTTCAGGTGTCTAAGACATGCTTCACACGTGTCTGTAACGTCTGGGAGCACGTTTAGAGCATTACTCGCACATGTTTCAGACATGTAGAAGGCAGCTGAAAAACATGTCTAATTCAACGGTAGAACGGTTAGAGTGTCCATTGTCATGGCATCCACCATTTTTGCCGCTTTCCTACTTCAAGAGTCTATCGTTGTTCCCTCTCCCCTCATTTCCAGGGGGTGGGCGGAGACCCAATCTGCTTCCAACGCGTTCCTACAGTCGGGGCCCTGAAGGAGGAACCCTTCTCGTTGGGGAGGGGCTCCGCGTTCCTTAAGTGTTTCGCAGCTTGCCTCAGGTTTTCCTTATGCTCCTACTTCCAACGCGTTCCTACTTCACGCTTCTACCCGCTCCTTCTGACCGACGGGTAAGCAGAACTACTCGGAGGTCTGCGCGGATCTCCTGGGTCGAACGCCTTCTCCTCGCCGCATCGGACGAAATTCAGGAGGGGAAGAAACACACAGACACAATTCATCGTCGACGCCCCAGAAAAGATGGGAAAAGATGGGAAGTGCTGGGGAGGACAAGAGCCCAGAAGATATGGGAAAATATATGGGACATCTTTTTTATTCGTGTGTATTCATTTGTGTGTCCCAGGGCCCCTTCAGAAATGTCCAGGGTTCCCCAAGCGGCGTGGGACTCGGGCCGCTCTCCGAGGACGCCTCGGGCGGCCGGGGCCACCACAGGGCCTCCAGGCCGTGCGGCGACGGGCCGTGCGGCGGGGCCCTTCGGGATGGGATCGAGGTCGCCGCACGGTCTGCTGCCACGCGGTGTGGGGACCCCTAAAATCGTCGACTCCCAGGGAAATATGGGACAATATGGGAAGTGGGGGGGAAGACAGAACCCCAGAAGATATGGAAAAATATCGGGATTCCTGTGATTTGTGTGTATTTATTCTTTGTGTGTTTGTGGCCCCTTCGAAGGTGGGGGGTGGGACTGCTGTTGCAGGCAGCTCGTCTGGGCCCCGCCGCCGGGCGCGTTGCTCCACACGTTTGGGGGATCTTCTTGCCCGGGGCCAATCTTCTAACCCGGGTCAGCAGGACACCAAGAGCTCCAATGTCGGGGGCGGAAAAGAGGGGGGTGATGACTAGGGGGGGGTGGATATCATGGCGTGGGCCATGATATTTCCCCAGATTTCATGGCGCCTCTTCTCATTTCATTACGTCCCTGCCCCCCCCGCTGGGCCGCGCACATGCCGCCGGTCATGATTTGCACTGGCCCCTCTTGGACACCCCCCTCTTTGCCGCTCCCGACAATGCAGGAGCAAAAGTCTGCAACGCAGGTCGTCGCAAACCCGGGTCCACGAATATGCGCGGCCGCCTCGCGGCCACGGGCGGCTCGCGAACCCGGGTCAGCCAGAGGGGGTCTTCGCAGGATTCTGCAGGATCGGGTGCCCTGGCTGACCCCCGTTTGCGCTGACCCCCGTCTCAAGGCTCCCGAACATCGGCGCCCCTGGCGCCGGGAAAATCAAACCAGCTGCGTGAGCTGATTCGTTGACCCTCCTTTGCTATCTTCCCTCGGTGCGATCGAAATTCGTACGGAAAGACAGACGGCATGTCCTGTTCGTTTTGAGCAGGACTCGCTGTCGGTGTGGCCGCGGACGTTGTCTATGCAAGGCAGAGGGCCGCCAGCCCAACAGCGGCCGCTGTCGGCGTTGGACAACGTTTGTTGTTGGGTATTGAACCCATTGTTGCAGCACACATGTTGGGCGTCCAAATCGTCTCTCGGCCGACTCGCTCCCCCTGCTGATCAGGAGGGGAAGAACCACACAGAAACCGTTAATCGTCGATTCCCAGGCAGATATAGGAAAGTATGGGCAGTGGGGGGGAGGACGAAGACACAGAAAATATAGGAACATATTTGGAATCCTGGGGTTTGTGTCTATTTATTTGTGTGTCCCTGGGTGCCTTCAGCTGACTGTTCTCCCTTGGTGTCTATTTATTTGTGTGTCCCTGGGTGCCTTCAGGGTGCGGGAGGGGTGGGTGGGGCGGGGCAGGTCAAGTCAAGTCAGGTGGGGACTCGGTGGCAACGCTAGGTGGGGCTAGGCTGAGGGGGGCGACGCAGCGTACAGTCGGGGCGCTGAAGAAGGAACCCTTTTCGTTGGGGAGGGGCTCCGCGTTCCTTAAGTGTTTCACAGCTTGCCTCAGGGTTTCCCTATGTTCTCGATGGGAAATCGAAGTTCAACTTATGGAGAAAAGGGGCCTCGTTCCTTATTTAGGGTTCCTTAGGTCAACGCCCCGACTGTAGGGTCTTTGGGATGTGATAGAGAAGGTTTTCGGACACTCTCGGCGGTCTGCCAGCCTCGGGATGCCTTCCAGCAGATGCCCCTCGCCGAGAGGGCGTTCCGGGGGTGCCCAGGCCGCCCCGAAGGGCCGACGGGGAGCCGAGCTATGACCCGAGCATCAGGGGGCGACGTCTGAGGGGGATGAGGAGGAGGAGGAGGTGGAGGAGGAGGAGGAGGAGGAGGAGGAGGAGGAGGAGGAGGAGGAGGAGGAGAGGGGAGGAGAGGAGGGAGGAGGGAGGAGGAGGAGGAGAGGAGGAGGAGGAGGAGGAGGGGGAACGCATCGACCCTCCATCCCCCGCTCGTCGTCGACGTTCCCCCCCCCCCCCTGGGCCGGGTCGGTTCCACTGCAACGCCCCCTATTCAGAAGGGGGGAGCAGGGGTCCAGCCTGAGGAGGAGATGTTCTGGAACGCTCTGAGGCTGCCGTGGCACCTGATGCGTTGTCCGAACCTGCCAGGCCCCAGAGATTCTCGGCTTCCCGCCCGTCTCAACCCGAGGTTGGTCCTGTCTTGCCTTCGTTCGAAGAACAAGTAGTGTTCCGAGAACGCGAGGCAGGATCCCACGGCAGCACCGGCACGCCTTGGACTCAGCGGCCACAGCATGCAGTCGTCATCCGCCGGAGAAGCAAGGCGGCATTTCCAGGAGGCACCGGCACGCGTTGGGCCTGGCGGCCATGGTGCGCAGCCGTCATTCATCGGAGAAGCGAGGCAGGATCCCCAGGGAGTACCGTTGTTCTTCGGGCCGGGCAGCCGCGGTGTACAGGGTCCGTGAGGGCGGCCGGGGGCCTTTCTAAGAACTCTCTCACAACCCCGTCTTTCGGGGGCGGCCAAGAGGGGGGTGATGACTGGGGTTAAGTCGGGCTTGTCCCTCTACAGGAGGAATACTCAAGAGTTCTCAAAACAAATCGTCGGGGGGCGATTTCTTTGATCATGCGTTCACTGTTTTGGAGTACGTTTACGGGCATCTGCTTGTAATTGTTTCGTCCAGACTCCGCCTGCAGGGGGACACGCCCGACTTACGACTAGGGGGGGTCCAGAAACCGCGCTCCCGAGCGCCAGGATGTCCGCAGGGGGGTCTGGGACGGGGTCGGACCTGGGCGTGAAACTGCACGGTGGAAGGCCTCTAGGACGCAGCCTCCGAGGGCGAGGATGCCGGCAGGGGGGGTCGTGGACGAGGCCGGATCTGGACGTGAAGTCGCATGCTGGGATGCCCAGAAGCTCCCGAAGGCCAGGGTGTCGGCGGGGAGGTCCGGGACGGGGTCGGATCCGGGCGTGAAACTGCATGCTGGGGGGGATGGGGACGCACCTCTCTCGTGAGGTGGGGATCGAAGGCACGATTTCCCGCGCACGCCTCTGGGGTCGGCGGATTTTGCCACGTGGGCAGCAAGCACTTGGATAGGGTTGACATTCAAAGTGAAGGAATTTTCGTGTGAAGTTTTTTTTAAACTGTATGACTTTATCTTTATACAGAAATCAACGTTTTTTTGTCCAGAAGGTCCTGAGGTCATGTTTCGCCGTCTTCGGCCTCCTGAGGCCCTCCATGGGCCCTGGGACCGCCAGAGTCGGCTCGGAGGAAGAGCAGGCCCCAGGGGGGAGGCCCATCGGCGTCACCCCAACATACTTATACTATGTGTGGGTCGCCCCCCCGGGGGCGATGCGCGCACCGAGAAATCTTATAGTATATGCGTCGTGGCGGGCGGTTTCTGGCCACACCGCTCGGGAAACGATATACGACAAGATGGGTATACTATATGTTTGGGTCGGACGCGCGCCTCCAAGGAGGACATATATTATTAGTATGTCTCTGTGCGTCCCAGCCCAGGGTCCAGGACGTGTTGCGATCAGGATCTTTCGTTTACCGTGGTGAGCAAAGTCCCCGAGCGACGCGGAGGGCTGTATGATTGACTCCGGAGTTTTCCGCGACAGCGAAGAATCGGCGGCGAGCGAGGGGGGGAAGTGAGAAGGGGCGGGCCTTTTCGGAAGGGGGGAAATGAGAAGGAGGAGGCCTTCTCAGAGGGCGGCGGGACTTCTCAGAAGCCCTCGCGCCTTCTGGGAAGTTGTCTTCTGTGTCTCCGGGGAAGGCCTGGGAAACTTCTGAGAAGGCCGGGGGACTCCCGAGCCTGCCGAGAAGGCCCGCCCCTCCTCACTTCCCCCCCCGCTCGCCGCCGATGGGAGTCCAGCTGGCCTCAACAACCCCCTCGAGTACCTCCAGCCAGCCTCAACAGGCCCCCCGAGCAGTCCAAAGCGGTCTCAGCATCCGGGCCGCGCCTCCGGCGTCGCCCCTGGGGGGCCCCGCGCCACAGGGTGCACCGGCCCGAATCTCATCTGCAAACCTTCCTCCTCGCTCCTCGCTCCTCGCTCCTCGCTCCTCGCTCCTCGCTCCTCCTCCTCTTCCTCCTCCTCCTCCTCCTCCTCCTACTACAGTCGGACCGAGGTATAAGATCGAGGTCGGTTCGGGGAGGGTGCCCTACTGCTCTTCGTGTTTGTTGGATGTTCCTGTGCATCCTGGGGGTCAGTGATCTTATGGTTTTGGGTGGTTTGGCCAGCGGAGGGTCTCATGTGCTTGGAGGATGTTTTTCTGTCCTAGATCTGGCAGTACGCCTCCCTTCCCCCGCGACGCCGCTGCCGCCAATGTCGCCCCCGTTGTCTCCGTTGTCATAGGCGTCGCCGCAGTCTCTGACATCCGCCGGTGTAATTTTTTTCAGTCCGCGGCCCCCGAGGTCCCGATAGCTTCCCTGGGGGCAGCGCTGCTTCCCAGATGCATTTCTGATGGCCCCCTGGGGCCCGATAACTGGCCCTAGGGGCCGAAATCAAGGAAAATGTCCCAGATTTGTTTTGTAAAGATGAGTCGTCGGAGATTTTGGGTCGCCGTCGCTGCTGCGTTCGCCGTCGTCCTCGACTCCTGCCGCCGACGGGAAGTGGAGCCGCCGTTCCGCGCCGCCGCCGCCAACGTCGTCGCAGTCAGAGCCGCTGTCGCGCTCGTCGCCGCCGTCGTCGTGGACCCCTGCCGCCGATGGAAAACGGAGAGGCCTCTCCCGGGGTGCGCTCTGTCCAGAGCTTCGAGGCGACTCCAGCCGTGGCGACGAGAGAAGGGCATCGATATCGGTACCGGGATCTTGTCCTCATCCACCATCATCGTCGCCGCCGTCTCAGTCGTGTTCGCCGTCGTCTTCGACTCCTGCCTCTGCGGACGACTTGTGTTCACCCTACCGCGTTGGCGTCTCCCCAAGGTGTCGGGGAACATCGGCCCAGAAGTGGCACGACGCAGACTTTTCGGCTCGGTCCTCAGGGGACCCGCGGAGCCGAGAAACTACGCACCGCACCGCGTTGGAACGGGGCTCTGAAGGAAGTCCAAACATGGTACAGTCGACCCGCATGGCGATCTTTCTCTGATTCGTTGTCTTGCCGATCGGCGCGGGCCCTCGCACCCCCCCCCCCCCTGGAACAGATTTTGGCTGTTTGGGGCGCCTGTTTCGAGAAGGTGGAGTCCCCCCCCATTGGACGCACTGTTGCAAACAGTCGCACTAAGCAGAGGTCTGGAGCCAGACCCCCCCTCCCCCCTCCCCCCCCTTCCGCCCAATGGCGAAACGACGAATGAGACAACGTTCGCGTGGTAAGGATGGGCAACCTTCCCAAGGTTACCCTTGCATCCTTGCCTCCTCGGTCCTCTCTTGTCCACTTTCGCTGGCCGCGCCCCGCTCGGGAAGCTTCGAAGTTGCCCTCCAAGGCCCTTGCATGCTTACCGCGCATCCTTCTGATACGGGTCGACGGTGCCGTGCCTGGGCGAAGTTCTCGTGCTGTCAGGTCGGGCATGTCCCCGTACAGGGGGATTTTGGGCGAAACAAATACCCCCCCAAATGCTCCCAAATAGTCCAGAATACTCCCCAAACTCGCCCCCAGACGTTTTTTTTTTTTTTTTTTTTGTGATCATTTTCGGATTTCCCCACCTGAAGAGGGACAGGCCCGACCTGATCGTACTGCCGCCGACGGGACATGGAGCCGCCCTTCCGCGCCCTGCGCCGGCTGCGGGCCCTGCCCGCCGCGGGCCTGCACGAAGCGCTGGCGGGACGCCCGGCCGTGCTGGGCGCGGGCTGCGAGGCCGCCTTCGCGCGGCCGCTGGGTCAGGCCTCGGGGGCAACGCGGGGTGGGGCTGGGCTTGCGTCGGGCCTGCCCCTCTACAGGAGGAAGATTCCAAAAATAGTAAAAAGGTACTCTGGGGACGATTTGTTAACAATTTTTGCGTATTTCAGGCTTACGTCGGGCCTGTCCCTCTACAGGAGGAGTATCCAAAAATAGTAAGAAGAAAAACTCGGGGGACGATGTTTGGACCATCTCTGCGTATGTCAGGCTATCTTTTCTTGCTCTTTTTCAGTTTTCGCCTCAAATCCTCCTGTAGGGGGACAGGGCCGACCTGAGGCTAGGCTGCGGGTCGGAGGAGGAACAACATTTTTTCTCTATTCTTCAGTTTTCGCCTCAAACCCATTTTTCGCCAAAAATCCTCCTGTAGGGGGACAGGCCCGACCGAAGGCCAGGCTGCGGGTCGGAGGAGGACCAGGTACCCAAACCGCTGCCCTCCGCACGTGCTCCCCCTTTCCTTTTCATGGGCCCCCCTCGGGGGAGGCCCGCCGCCGCAGGAGATCCGCCTCGGCAAAATCCTGGCCAGAACGCGCCCCGGGCAGAGGCCCGGGGCGTAGCGGCATCGGTCTTTTTTGGTCTCCCCGCGGGCGAGCGGACCTTGTTCATTTTGACCAAGAATCCCGCGGGCTGATTTGGACGCCCGAAATGGTACTGAAAGAATGGGCCCCCGGGGAGGCCCGCCGCCGCAGGATCCGCCTCGGCAAATCCTGGCCGGAGCGCGCCCCGGGAGAGGCCCGGGGCGTAGCGGCATCGGTACCCTTCGATTTCCCCGGAGGGGGGCGACGCTCGAGGTTTTTACGTTCTCGGCGGACTGCCAGCCTCGGGATGCCTTCCAGCAGTTGCGCCTCGCCGCCGCAGGATCCGCCTCGGAAAATCCTGGTCGGAACGCGCCCCGGGAGAGGCCCGGGGCGTAGCGGCATCGGTGCCCTTCGATTTCCCCGGAGGGGGGCGACGCTCGAGGTTTTTACGTTCTCGGCGGTCTGCCAGCCTCGGGATGCCTTCCAGCAGTTGCGCCTCGCCGCCGCGGCATCCGCCTCGGCAGATCCTGGCCGGCACGCGCCCCGGGAGAGGCCCGGGGCGTAGCGGCATCGGTCTTTTTTGGTCTCCCCGCGGGCGAGCGGATCTTGTTCATTTTGAACAAGAATCCCGCGGGCTGATTTGGACGCCCGAAATGGGTACTGAAAGAATGGGTACAATGCCCCCGGGGAGGCCCGCCGCCGCAGGATCCGCCTCGGCAAATCCTGGCCGGAACGCGCCCCGGGAGAGGCCCGGGGCGTAGCGGCATCGGTACCCTTCGATTTCCCCGGAGGGGGGCGGTATCGGTACCCTTCGATTTCCCCGGAGGGGGGCGGTATCGGTACCCTTCGATTTCCCCGGACGACTGGGGGCCACGATCGTCAGAGGAGGAAGAGGCACCCGTGCCTCTGCCCCCTCGCATGTTTTTTCCCTTTTTGGGGCCTCCCGAAAGGCCCTCGTCGCCACCGCTGGATTCGCCTCGGAATCCTGGTCAGAACGCACCCCGGTAGAGGTCCGGGGAGTAGCGGTATCGGTCCTTCTTGGTCTCCCCGCGGGCGTCCTGTCTGGACGCCCGAAATGGGTACTGAAAGGATGGGTACAATGCCCAACAGCGGATCTTGTTCACTTTGAACAGGGCTCGCTGTCCACGCCGCCGCGGCCTGTGTCCATTCGGGACAGGAGGCCGCCTGTCCAACAGCGGCCGCTGTTGGTTCGGGACAACATTTTTTGTTGGGCATTGTACCCATTGTTTCGGTACCCATTTCGGGCGTCCAAATCCTGTGGCTCCTGGATCCCCCCTGGAAAGGCACCCCCAGACGTCCCATGAGGTGCGTCTGGGCCGCGATCTCGAGAGGAGCCCGAGACCGTGTCGAGGAGGAGCCTCCCAGAACGGCCCCAGGGGCAGAAACCCTCCGAGGAGCGGGAGGATCTCCTGGAGGGGGGCGACGCTAGGGGTTTACGTTCTCGGCGGTCTGCCAGCCTCGGGATGCCTTCCAGCAGTTGCGCCTCGCTGAGGGCGTTCCGGGGGTGCCCAGATCGTCCCGAAGGGGCGCCGAGTTATTGCCCGAGAGCCAGGGGGCGACGTTCAGGGGGGGATAGGCTCCGGGAGGGGGATGCATCGGCCCCCACTTGCCCACTCCTCGCGGATAGGGGCCCGACAGCCCACTCCGCCCAGAACGTCTGGATCTGCTGCCGGGGGCCAATCGCCGATCTACCTGCAAGGCGTCGCCGACTCCAGGCTGATGGTTCGTCCCCTGAGCCGGCCCCCCCCCCTGTTGCCTCCCATCGGGAGTTTTGAGACGGGGGTCAATGCAAACGGGGGTCAGCCAGACCGCCAGATCTTGTAGGATCCTGCAGGGCCAGGCTCCCATTGGCCCGGGCTTGGGTGCAGGATCCTGCAGGTTCTTGCAGGATCCTTCGCATTGACCTGGGTTTGGGTGCAGGGTCTTGCAGGATCTTGCAGGATTCTGCAAGCCCTGGCTGACCCGGGTCTGGGTCGACCCGGGTCAGGAGATCCCCGATCCCATCGAGGCCGGAGCCTTGCTGGACCAGCTGGCCAGCGCGCGGGTGGACATCTGAGGGCATCAAGATCTGCGCAGCTGGCGGCCTTCGGAGGCCCGCGCGGAGTTCTCGGGGCGGGGCGGGGCGCCTCCCTGGCGGCACCCGAGGCGCCGCCCCCCCTTTTGTCGGGGGAGCGTAAGACCCGGGTTTGCCGGGACTCGGGTTCGCCACCGTTTTTTGACGACCGCGCCTCGGATTTTGACGAGGAGGAGTTTCGTGGGATGTCTGCAGCGGGAGGCCTCGTCAAAATGCAGGCTCGGCCTCGTCATTTTTTCGACGACCTCGTCGGGGATTTCCGAGTCCCCCGTAACCGGGTCTTACGTCTCCCCGATTTTGGAGGGGGGGTCCCGCGCCGCCCAAAGGCCTTTGCGCGGGCCTCCAAGGGTCGACGCTCGTGTCGCTGCCCTGAGATTCGGCGTTGCGAAAAATAGGCAACACAGCGAAAAGTCACGACCAGAGCCCCAGACCCCGGAGGAGCGAGGATAAGGAGGAGGAGGAGGAGGAGGAGGAGGAGGAGGAGGAGAAGAAAAAGGAGGATTTGGATTGCAGTGTAGTGCTAATGCCCTTGAGGGTAAGCATAACGCTGCGGAGGGTCTCATGAAGGTTGAACGACAAACCTTCTGGTCCCTGAGCCTGTGCAGGAACTTTTGTTGGCGCCTGGTGTCGGCTGGTGGTATGCGTGGTCAACATACCCCGTGACAGCCACCTCTATTCGACACATGAGGTTTGGCGGGGAGGGTTTCATGATAGCCCTTATCTCCTGATATCGTACAAGTGGAAGTTCATGCTGCGTGTCCCACCACATGATCAGAGGATGGACTGTTATCCCACATAATAGCTTCAGACGTTGGCTCCGTAACATTGTGGGGGGGGCCCAGGGCAGCTCACTGGGGGCCACAGGGCAGGACGGCCTGCTACCACAGATGGGACATCTCACTGGGGCCTGCTACAACGGCAGGAAGGATTACCACTTTGGGCGGTGATGGGGGAGGGGCCCGCTCCGCGTCAGGGCAGCATGGAGATCTGCTCTGCAGCAGGCCAGGGCGCCATCTTAGGGTTGACAAGGGGGGCCTGCCATCGCAGGTCGGATCGCCACCCCAGGGGTGACACGGGTAGGCAGCTCTCAGGCAGGCAGGATCGCCCGGCTGAGGGTGGACGGGGCGGACCATAGCCATACTGGTGGGGCGGCGGCCAGTAAGCGGCGCAGTCTGAGACGAGCGGGCGCACGCTCCGACACGAGAAACTATCGATCTCAGGCTTCCCGCTTTTGAGGGAAATGCGCATTTTCAGAAGGGGCAACTATTGAAATTGTTGCGCCGGTTGCCAGTAAACAGGAGCTTGACATTACTGCTGCTGCTGCACATGAGATTGCCGCAGACTCCTGGGCCGCCGCCAGGCCCCTGGGGCGCCGCCCTCAAGGCCGCGGGGGCCGCCGCGATCGCCGCAGGGCCGCCCCGCGTGGATGATTTCGTCCATGCAGCCGCCGCCGAGGCCACTTGCGGGGTTTCCCGAGGCCTCGTGGGCTGCCTGGCGTGCTTCGGAGGGCGCTGGCAGCAGCGTCGATGGAGCTGGGGGCGCAGCGGAGCAGCCGACCGTGGCCGCGGGGGCCGCCGTGATCGCCACGGGGCCGCCCTGCGTGGGCGATCTCGTCCGTGCAGCCGCATGCCCGCGCCGCCGCCGGGGCCCTTGGGTTCGGATGCAACTCCTGGGAGGTCAAATTCTGTTTTCGCCCTGGTCCGAAATCTGGTTTCATCCGGTTCAATCCGGCTTGATCCGGCGCAATCCCGCTTAATCCGGCTTGATCCCGCGTAATCCGCACTAATCCTGCTTAGTCCGAGGCCCACTCTGGCGTAATAGCTCCTAAATGGGGCTTCATCCTTTTCAATTTTTCCGACGAAAGCTTCCCAGTAGTTGCCTCCTAACTTGGGCCGCTGCCCTCCAGTCCGCGGGGGCCGCCGAAATCGCCGCGGGGCCGCCCTGCATCAACCGTTTCGCCCATGCGCCCGCTGCCGAGGCCACCCGCGGGGCCCCCCGAGGCCTCGCGGGCCGCCGGGCGTGCCTGGGAGGGCGCTGGCAGCGGCGCTGATGGAGTTGAAGGCGCAGCAGGGCAGCCCCCCAGGGCCGCGGGGGCCGCTGCGATCGCCGCGGGGCCGCCCTGGGTGGGCGACTCAGGGGCCCCGGCAGGTCCTCGAGAGGGGGCCGAAAAGATGTTCCGCTGACCACGGCCGCCCGGGCATCTCAGCGGGGGCCTCTCGGAGCCCGCTCGAGGCCCGGATCAAGCCCCCGGGCGAGCCCGGAGAGGCGCCCCCATGCCCGAGAGGCCGTCGAGAGTGCCACGAGCGATATTAAGATGACCACGGTTATCTGAATATTGGTCCGGGCGCCTCGCGGGGCCCGCGTGGGGCCCGAGACGGCCCTGAGCGGGCCCCGCCAGGCTCCGCCGCGCCCCCAACAAGGCTCCGAGGGGCCGGAGACGGCTCCCACCAGACGGGGCGTGAGATGCGGGGGGTGCGAGCGCGTGGGGTTGCCGGCCTAGCCGCCGGCCTGCCTCCTCGAGGAATTTGATTCGCGACGAATCTGCGGACGCACGATGGCCGGATCCGCCGCTAGAAAACGCCCGATAGGAGATGAACCTCGGTGGCAGTTCGGCGCCAGAGCGCGCGAGAGGAGACGGACCTCGGTAGCAGTTGCCGCCGGGCAACGCCCCTGAGGCATTTGCTTCGCGACGCGGGCAGTCGCGCAGGCTCGGCGAACGCGCGCCAACTGGCTTCGCCGCCAGGCAGCGCCCGCAGGAGACGACGTGCGATAACGGGGCGGATGCGAGCGCGCGGGGCCGCCGGCCTTTCCGCCGCGCCGCGACTCTGAAGCGACCACGCGCGCGCGGCTCGCGGATTCGCGCGGACCAGCATTGCCGCCGGACCGCGTGCATGAGCACGCAAGCCGCGGCACCGCGGGTCTCGCCAAGGCGCGGAGGACCGCCGGCTTTGCCGCGGCGCCGCGTCCGCGAGGCAACTCCTCGTGACGCGGGCCAGCGCACGCGGCGACTGCGGGCGCGCGAATGCCGGCGCGGCCGCCAGCCAGCGCCCGAGAGAGAACAGAACGCGGCGCTCGGGGGGCCCAGGGGGCCACGGGAGCGCGCGGGGCTCCCGACCTCGCCGCCGGGCGACGCCCCGAGGCAGCGGCCTCGCGACGGATGCGGGCGCGCATGATCTGCGGGCGCGCGATGGCCGGCATCGCCGCCAGCCCGCGCCCGCAAGAATGCGAACCTTGGCGGCGGTTCGGCGCGAGAAGGTCCAGGGCCGCGGGCCTTTCCGCCTGGCAGCGTCTTGGAGCCGCTGGCTTTGCCACCGGGCAGCGCCCATGAAGGCATCTGCCTCGTGACGTGGGCAGGCGTGCAGATTCGGCGCGCGCGCGCTGAATTGCGCTGCCGTCAGGCAGCACCCACAGAAAACAAAGTACCAGAACCGGGGGGATGTGGGCGCGCAGGGCCGCCAGCCTTGCCGCCGTTCTGCGCTTCTGAGGCGACTGCCTCGCGACGAAGGCAAGCGCGCGAAATCGGCGGATGCGCGGTCGCCGGTGCTGCCACCCATGCCTCAGGCACCAAAAGAGGGCGCCCGCGCTAGTTCATCGACGCGGATGGGCATCTTGGCCCGCGCGGCCCCGTCTCCCCGGGGAGGGCCGCGCCTGCCCTGAGCGCGAAGGCGAACATCCCCGGCCCTTGTCGTCCCGCCATTTACTGGATAAGGGGCTACCCAGGGGGTGCTTTTCGAGTTCAGGTCATGGCGGCGCCCCGTGCGCCCACTGGGCTTTTCCCTCGCCCAGTATCGAATGGCGTCGGCACGGGCGAAAAGGGGGGGGGGGGAGGAGGAGGAGGAGGAGGAGGAGGAGGAGAGGAGGAGGAGGAGGGAGGAGGAGGAGGAGGAGGAGGAGCAGGAGCAGAGCAGGAGCAGGCAGGAGGAGCAGGAGGAGCAGGAGGAGGAGGAGGAGGATAAAGAGAGGAGCAGGAGAGGAGGAGGAGATAAAGAGGAGGAGGATAAAGAGGAGGAGAGGGGGAGGAGGAGGAGGAGGAGGAGGAGGAGGAGCAGGAGCAGGAGCAGGAGCAGGAGCAGGAGGAGCAGGAGGAGCAGGAGGAGCAGGAGGAGGAGAAGGAGGGGGAGGACGACGAGGAAAGGAGGAGGACGACGGCGAGGAGAGCAAGGCCGACACGCTGGACGGCTGCACGAGGGAGGATCTCCATGAAGGAAACCGCTCTGATCCCGGCGTCGCATTTTTTGCTTGGGGTCGAGCCCCCAGGCCATCGCGGAAAATGCGACAGATGTGGCATTTTCCGAACTGGATCCGCCCGCGATGGCCTGGATCCGCCCTCGTGCATACGTCCAACGTGTCGGCATTGCTTCCTTCGCCGTCGATTTTTTCCGTTGTTTTCCTCCTCGTCTTCCTCTTCCTCCTCGTCCTCATCATTTTCCTCCTCCTCCTCCTCTTCCTCCCTCCAGTTCCTCTCTCCTTCTCCTGTTCCTCCCTCTCCTTCTCCTCCTCCTCCTCCTCCTCCTCCTCCTCTTCCTCCTCTTCCTCCCCCTCCTCCTCCTCCTCCTCCTTGTCCTCCTTGTTGTTGTCCTCCTCCTCCTCGTCTGCGTCGTCCGCTTCCTCGTCCTTCTGGTAAAACCCTGGCGTGACACACGTGCACCGCCCAGATCTCAGGGTTTCTTGTTCGCCCTTCCGGCACGTGCGGCCAGCCGGGGACGTCACGCGGCTCGGGGGCTACTTCCGCCCGGGCGGCGCGAGGCCGACTGTGGCGGAGTGGCGGTCGCTGCCCGCCCGAAACATATCCATGTCCCCGGTCTTCCTCCACGTCACCGTCTTTCCTCCTGTTTTTCTCTCCGTCTTCCTCCTCAGTTTCCTCCCCTCCTCTTTTTCCTCGCTTGTTCTGTCTCATCCCCCTGCGTTGCACGCGCCGTCGGGCTACACCCCAGTAGAAGGTCCCCCTCATCCTACGCGTCCTCGTCGTGCTCATCTTCGTCGCACTCGAACGGTAATTCATCGTTTTGCCCTTGCTTTGCTTCGCTTGGTGGTCTACTTTTCCTATTGTTATTGTGGTTCCGGGACGCGGCAAGTTGTAACTGCTATATGTATATGCGATGTATTTCCAACCGTGTTCTACAGGGTATTATTTTGTATTCATAAAACAAATATCTTCCATTACCGCGCACTTTCGTTCGTAGTTGGTAGCGGAGACTCCCGCTCCGCGACCACTCGCCGCCAGCCATGGCCCGCGAGGCTCCCCACCGTGTTCGCGGCGAGCGTACTTGCTTTTCCCTCGTCGTGATCGTGTTGGTCGTTCACTTCGCCCCGCCTCGACGGGCCGGCGGGGCCCGCAGGCCCAACCGCCAACACCGGCGAGACAGACCCAACACACCGACCGCAACAAAGACAATTTCGAGAAGGACGGCGCCACCGCCCACTGGCCTCCTCCCTTGGTATTCTCGAACTGTGTTCGAAAAGGCTTGGTGTCCCTTCGTCGTCATGGCAGCCTCTTGCGGGCGCCGCCGTCGAGCGATCTGACCTCCACGCTCGCGGCGCCGACACGGGGCCCCGAAGTCCGTAATTATGTTGCGGAAGCCCGACGGGGAAGACAAAGGACGCATCGCCTTTATTGCACCCGCGTGCGGGTTTCGCGGGCAATGTCAATCAATCGTTCGATCCGATGCTCACATCTTCGGCGTCGGCGACGCGCCCCAGACTGTCCGCAACAGCGTTGCGGAAACCGGCGGGGGGTGGAGGGCGCGCAGGAAAGAGCGAGAACGCAGAGGAGGGTCGGGCAATCATGTTGCCATCCTTTCAGGGGACCGTGGCACAAATTTGGAACTAGTTGTTAATCGGTTCTCTGGGGCATGACCGTCAACGTTTCCTACGCGGTCGTTGTTTCTTGGCCGACCTGGATTCCTATGCGCACTCCTGTTGGCGATCAAATGTCGGCAGCGTTCAGTATAATCATAATGTGACACACGATGAGTTCGCCCGCCATTGTTTGGCGGAGCGCTCCGAGCGCAGTCCGCGCACCAATCGCACGACAGAAGAAAAGACTCAATTCAATACGGTGACGAGGTGGAGAATGCCAGGGACAGGTGCCCGCGACGGTTCCGAGGTTCATTGCCAGAACATCGCCGTTGGTGGTCACCAGGGCCGCCGCGCCTCCACGACGCCTGGGCGGGGGCCCCGCTCTGGGTGGAGGGCCATCGGGGCGGGCGCCATCGCCGCCATCAGCTGCGTCGCCTGCGCACTGCACTCGGGGGAGCAGCTGGAGCGCGAAAGCATTACCGCCAACTTCGACTCCATGCTGGCCGGGCGAAGTGAAGTGCGGCCCGGCCGAGTGCAGTGGCGCATCTTTGACCTCGCCCTGCATCGCGTCGTCGATGCTGTTTCGATCGCCCGCGATAGCCGCGCCTTCCGGGCACGCGCCACAGAGGCCGTAGAGGGGCCAGTAGAGAGGCGCTTCAACGCGGGTGATCAGGCGCAGATTCATTGGCCTCTTAGCTCAAAGGCCGCGCCAGGCTGGGCAGGCCCGGCGCTGCCCTCTCTGCGGGCCCGGCCAGAGGCAAGGTCGCGGTCGCATGCCGCAGCGCCGAGATGGTCTGCAGATTGCAGGGCGCACGCGCCTTCATCGGTGCCGTCTTCGACGATGTGGGCCCTGGCATGTCGCGAGCAGGCCTGGCCCGGGATCGCGCAGAGGACTTGATAGCGCACGTCGCGCCAGGCGCGGATGCCAGGACCTTCGGCCACTGGGAGGATGAAGGGGGCAAGCAGCTGACCGAGCAGGCTCGGCAACGCCCCGACGTCCTCGATGCATTGCGCCATTTGTCCAGCGTGTGCTTGCCGCTACCTGGCGTCGAGCCGTGCATCTCCTGCGCGGTCGGAAATCTGTGGGCGACTGGCCGGGCTGCAACGGCATTCTGGTGATTTGGTTGTTCCCTCGTAACCTAGGGGGCGTCCGCCAACTGCGCTTTGTCGGCGTCAAGTTCGACGCCCGCAGCCTTAGACGGCGAGCAGTGCAAGGAAGCTCGCATCGCCCAGTTTGTCCTGGGTGGCGAACAGCTACTAGAAGCCAGCGCTGGACAGGGCCAGGGCGGGGCGGCCGATGACTGCGTTATCAGAGTCCACGGGGGCGCTGCCAACTTCACCGAGGGCGGTTCACCATCAGCCCTGTCGGCGATGCCCGAAGAGGTTGACAGCGACTTCTCCGGCCACATCGAGGTGATCCTGGCAGCCTGGTAGGATGGCGAGGGTGCGGAGGCTTGGGCCCCGGAGCTGCGGGAGCTGGCGAGCACCGACAGCCAGCAGATGGTTCGCGCCGCTGTCGAGCATTCGAGCGAATGGCCCTGGCACCTGGGGGCGCGTCGCCAGGGGCGGCCCATCCGTGCGCAGCGTCGCAATTACCTGCGCGGCGCCTTCCTAGACGAGCGTGGCAAGCGGATAACGCGCGAAGTTGCACTTGGACCCCAGGGTGCGAGAGGCATTCCCGAGCTGCCACGAGAGTAACTACTTTGTCGACGCACCCGCCACAGCCGCGCCGCCGTCAAGACCGCGGCAACCAAGAGCGACGCCGATCTCTCAAACGAGGGGGAGGCGTCGAGACTGTCCAAAGAGGTAGTCGCCGCCCTCGAGGAACTCCCGACCTGGGGCGCGTGCAAGGCGCTCGGAGCGTCGCGGGCCCCAGCCGCGCTTTTACGTGGAAGCGCCGAAAAGGGCCCAACGGCAAAAGAGCCAGGATCATCCTGTGCCGCGAGACGCTGAGAGGCTTCCGCGACATGGGCGCCGGAGCCCTGGGGACGTTCGCCCGCGCGGCGAACCGGGCGCCCCTGCGCATTCCGTCCTTGGGGGCGGCTTGTCGCCCAGACCAAGTGTAGGTCGCCGTGGACGTCGAGCAGGCTTTCCACAGGGCATGACTCATGCCGAGATGAAGGGGCAGGTCGAAGCACTACGAGAGGTGAATTTCACCCTGCCGCCCGGCAGTGCTGCAATCCTCAGGCAGGCTCCAGGCTACGAGTCTTTCGACGAGCGGACCGAGTGCCTGCGCTGCGTCGAGCCAGGCGCGGGCTGCAAGGGCGCGCGCGGATCTTTCTCCATGAATCTCGCCAGGGTCACGCGCTCGCCCGAGTGCATCGCCAAGCCGACGCGGCGGGGCCGTGCGTTCCATGCCAAACGTGAGGTTCGGAGTGAGTGCTTGCGCTGTCCGAGCATATTGGCAACCCTCCAAGAGTCGCAGGACGCATGGGGCACGTCGACCGACTCGTCGGCCACATCGGGGGCGTCTTCGGCAATGCGGAGTCTTCCATGAACGCAGCGCCGACGGGGCAGCGACGCTCGACCAGGACCGATACATCGACGCGCCGATCTCCATTGGGTGCGTCGACCTGGTCAAGTCGAAGGCCGACGAGCCGGCGGGGGGTCCGCGCTGGTCGCGGACGGCGCGCCCGTTTCGCCGCCTGGGCCATGGGCCGCGCGCGGCGGCCGTCGGAGAATAGCGCGGCATGCCGCCCGCAGTGGCCAGCAGACCAGCCACGCACCAAACAGGTCTCCGACGTCCTGACCAGGAGCGACCCCTTGACCAAGAGCGGCATCGGCCGAGGGCTCATCCTCGACATCATGGAGGGGGAGCGCGCGCGCGAGCGCCCTGCAGTGAGGTCGAGCGCGGAGCGGCGCAACGAAGACAGCGCAGACCTTCCGTCGCAGCGACCTCAACAGGGACGACGACGCCACTGGGCAAACCGCCTGGCGTCGAATGTCCCGGACCATGTTCGCGAATGCAGCGGCCGACGCGCGCGTCGCGAATTGCGTTCGCGAGCGCGGCGCAGTCCATCAGGAAGAGAGACGCAGTGGCCCGCGTATCTTTGCACGCGACTGCGATTCGGCCAATGAGAGTGCAAGAAGAACGGGGCACACCAGTGAGAGGGCTTTCGTGCGAGGCAGTCGTTGCGCGATGCGTGCCCCAGCAGAAGAGCGCGCCGCCTCGCAAGTTTTAATGGGGGGGCCAGTCAGTAGAGGGCCCTCCGCTCCCCTATGAAGTTTTGTGTTGGAATCTTGTCACTAGAAGGTCTCAAAAGCGCAATCTGGCATTAGGAACCCGGATCGTCGAGGGTTCTTTCATCAATTTTCGGCATGGTGGGGTCAGCAGAACCCCTTTTTACGCTACGCTTGTCTATGTTTGTAATTGTTTAGCGATGCCTGGTCAGTAGAAGGTCTCCTAAGCCTGGCTTTGTTTAGCTTTCCTGTTTTGGTTCTGCGCGCCCGAACCAGCGAGGTACGAGCAGACTCGCTTGAACATCAGACTCGAACGGTCGTTCATCGCTTTGCCTTGGTCCATGTCTCTTTTAATGGCTTCCTTTTCCCATTGCCGTTCTGGCTCGGGGTCGCGGCATCGGGGCTGTTTTAGTCAGCGGCGGCATCCGAACACGACAGTTGGACCGGAATGTAAATTCGAGGGTCGGTTCGGGGAGGGTGCCCTCATGTGTTCGTGTTTGTTGGATGTTTGCCTGCAACCAGGGAGGGTGCCCTCGAGTGTTTTTCGGCTTGGCCGGCGGATGGTCTCATGTTTCTGTCGGGTGTTATTCTGTCTTGGGTCCGGCTATCCCTTCGCCGATCCACGATTCAGGCAACTCGATGGGCGGCGGGGGGTGGTTTCGGAATTCGGAAAGCACGTGGCGAAGCGCGAACCTTACCCCCCGCCTCCCATCGATTCAGCAGGACCGATGGTTTCGATGTCGCCGCCTGGTTAGTCAGGAGGGGAAGAAAACACAGGCACAACTAAACTGACGAACCAACAACACACACCCATACCCATAGAGGGGTCGGAGAGGGCTATGGGTGCGTGTTGTCGGATGGGGGTCCCCGCTCAAACGGGGGCGTTCCCCAGGGTCCGAAAACGTGCACCCATGCCCATAGCCAGTCCTCCTCCCAACGACCCCCGTATGGGTATGGGTGTGTGTTGCTCGTTCGTCATAAACGTCGATTTCAATGAACATCTGGGAAAATCGGGAAGTGGAGAGGGAGGGCGAAGAACAAAAACGCAAGGGAAAACATGGGACATCTCGAGGTTTGTATGTGTTTTTGTTTGTTTGTTTTTTTGTTGTGTGTGTGTGTCCCTGGACCCCCAATCGAATCAGGAGGACCGATGGTTCGGATGTCGCCGCTTGGTTAGGTCGGGCGCGGGCGAGCCGTTGGTGTTCGACACGCGCCGGGGCGGCGAACTGCACGGGCGGCTGCGCAGCGCGCTGCAGCTGCGGGCGCCTGGGCCGCTGCGGCGCTGGTCGCGCTCTCCGATCGCCTCGCTCGGGAGGGCGCCGCCGGAGGTCTCAGAGGGAAAGCCAGTGGCAAAGTCACAGTGGAGGCCCAGGGGCAAGAAAAACCCTGCTTGCCTCCAGGGTGCTCTGTGTTTTTTTGGTTTCGATGGTTTTGCGGTGGAAGGCGTGACGTTCCCGCGCCGAGAATCCAAGGGCGTCCTGGGGTCCGAGGGTTGGGTTTCTTGTGGAAGGTTTCTTGTGGCCGGGCCTCCACTGTAACCGCGCCTCTGCCCCTCGATCCCGCCTTGACGTCCCCCCGATGGTCGGGCCCTGGGGGCCACCAGAAGCTGATCGCCGGCGAAAAGCTACCCGGGGAAGTGGTCGGGAGACTTCTGGGACCGCGGGTCCCTTCTCCTCTTCCTCCTCCTCCTCCTCCTCCTCCTCCTCCTCCTCCTCCTCCTCTTCCTCATTCTCCTCCTCCTCCCCAAGTACTAGCGGCACTTATTGTTGATTTCGGCGGCGGGAAAGCTCCATCCACTGGGGGGGGGGGAGAGGCTCAGGGGGGAGAGTCATCGGCCCCCAGTCGCCCATGAATCGCCGTGGTGGGTCCGATAGCCCACCCCGCCGGGGAGTGTGCGGAGTCGCGATCGGTGGCGGATCGCCGATTTTTCGGCTCGGTATCGCTGATCCCAGTTCGATGTTACCCCCCTCTGAACTCGTCCCCCCGATCGTTGCCCTTGGGAGACAAGCGCGAACTCAACAGAAACTTTTATGGAGTTCGCGCGGATGTCGGCCAGCGGCGGGCGAGTAGCGACAACGGCCCTTGGCCTTCGGGGGAGGGCCGTGCCGCCACGGCTAGACTCAGCTCGGAAAGCCTGCACGTTTGGATTCCAGGCGGGGTCGGGGGACCGATTTTTCTAGCTGAGGAAGGCGATAGCAAGCATGGGTCAAGGGGCGTGGATTAGCGACCAGTCCCGCTTCCAGGGGGAACCGCGGATCCCCGCCGCCGAGCGAGACGGCACCGGCCGCATTTCGGGGAGGGCACCTCCCCCGATCCCTGGATTTGGCGACCGCGCGCCAAATCCATGGATCGATCATCCAGGCTTGCGCGCCCCCGGGAAAAGGTATCGATCCGCTACTCGCCCCGTTTCGCTTTTGGGGGCTTCCTGGCAGGCCCTCGTCGCTGCGGCCAGATTCGCTTCGGAATTCTCGTCAGAAGGTACCCAAGGAGAGGTCCAGGGAGCAGCAGTATCTGGATCTTTTGATATGCCAAACACAAAATTGGAGCTCCCAACGGATTTCTTGAATCGGCTCCTGGGACCCCCTGGCCGCGCCTCCGGCGTCGGTTTTGGCCCGCGCGCCAAGGGAAAGGGGCCCAGCGCCGATCCAAGAAGAAATCCCTTTGGACCCCCAAAAGTTTATGACAGGGGTGGACGTCAACGGTGTTTGACGGGAAGCGCGCTAAGACTCGAAGGGTGGCGCGATTGACGTTCTCTCGGCCAGAGGTCTGGGGGGGGAACGCGCGGCGCCGCCTCGAGGTCCCGGACCTGGCGGATGACGGGAAGCGCGCTAAGACTCGAAGGGTCGCGCGATGGACGTCTGTGTGCCCAGAGGGATTTGGGGGGGAACGCGCGGCGCTGCCTCACTGTCCTGGACCTGACGGATGACGGGAAGCGCGCTTAGACCCGAAAAGTCGCGCGATGGACGTGTGTGTGTGTGTGTGTGTGTGCCCAGAGGGAGGATTGTTTGTAAGGGGGGGTGGGGGGGAACGCGCAGGGCCGCTTCGGGGTCCTGAATCTGGCGGGTGATGGGAAGCGCGTTGAGATTCGAAGAGTCGCGCGATGGACGTTCTATGGGCCAGAGGCAGTATTCAACTGGGGAGGGTCTGGGGGGGGAGCGCTCGGGATCGCCTTGTGGTCGAGGACCTGGCGGATTACGGGAAGCGCTTTCTCGGAACGAAATGGTGCTGGCAGTCAGTTGGGCCACGGTTTTTAATAATAAATAAAGAACTAAGGCGCGAGTGACCATGGCCGGGTGGCTGCAAATATTTTCGCTTGGCGGATTACGGGAAACGCCTTCGCGGAACAAGAAAATGATGGCAGTGTGTTCGGCCAAACTTTCTAGTAATACATAAAGAACTAAGGCGCGAGGGACCATGGCCGCCTGACTGCAAATGTTTTTTGCTTGGCGCATTCGCTTGGCGGATTCCCGCTCAACCCCGTTTTGGGTAGTTTCCCATAGGTTGTTTTACATGTTTGTCTGGTTTCCCCCGTGTTGGGCTGTTTTCCTTTGAGTGTTTGCATGTTTGTTGGGTTCCCCTCCGTTTTGGGCCGTTCTTGTCCTTTTGGTTTTTGAATGTTTTTTGGGGGGTTTCCCCCCCAGAGACGGCCCAAGAACGCTCCAAGAGAGCCCAAGACCGTCCAATTATCCCCCTAATCCCCGTTCTTGGCCGTTGTCCTTAGGGTGTTTGTATGGTTTTTCCGGTTTCCCATAGTTTTTTTTGGCTGTTCTCTTTATGGTTGTTGCATGTTTGTCGGGTTACCCCCGCCGTTTTTGGCCGTTGCCCCTTTGGTTTTTGCATGTTTTTCTGGTTTCCCCCCCAAGACGGCCCAAGAGCGCTCCAAGAGAGCCCAAGACCGCCAGACGGCCCAAGAGGCCCCCAAAAGGCCCCCAAGAGGCGCCCAAGGGGCGCCCCAAGAGCGTCCCAAGAGGCCAACGTCATTTATTTTTCTTAGGAGGAGGAGGGGGAAGAGGAGGGGGATGAGGAGGAGGAGGAGGAGGAGGAGGAGGAGGGCGAGGAGGAGGACGGAGGAGGAGGAGGAGGAGGAGGAAGAGGAACTTGAGGAGGAGGAGGAGGAGGAGGAAAACGAGGAGGGAGACGAGGAGGACATGAACGAGAAGGACGAGGAGGAGGCAGAGGAGGAGGAGGGTCAGGAAGACGAGGAGGAGGAGGAGGAGGAGGAGGAGGAGGACGAGGAGAACGAGGAGGACGAGGAGGACGGCAAAACGAAACTTTGCGCTCGGGTGTGCTCTGGTCGTCGGTCTATGGCGTTGGCCGGGACTCTCGGCCCTGTCCCCTTGGATTGAGGAGCCCTTCTCCCTCTCCCTCCCTCCCTCCCTCCCCCCCACCAGAACAAAACAGGAGGAGGAAGGATGATGGAGGAGGGGGAGGAGCAGGTCCCAGGGAAAGAATCCTGTGGTCCGGGGGCAGGCGCCTCGGATATTTGGGTGAAGCGGCGGCGGGTCGGGGTCTACGCAATACTTATATAGCGATGTCGGGGTCCACGCAATACTTATATAGCGATTTCGGGACCCACCGAATACTTATATAGCGACTTTGGGACCACCGGGATATTTATATAGCGGTTTCGGGGTCCACGCAATACTTATACAGCGATTTCGGGACCTACATAATATTTATACAACGATTTCGGGGCGCATTCCGCTTTACGTGGGAATCCGCGTGCCTGCACACGCAAGCTAAGAGAAGCGGCGCTTCCCGTTCTTGTCCGGATCGATCCCCCGTTTTTGGCAGTTTTCCATCGGGTGTTTGCATGATTTTCGGTTATCCCCTTGTTTTTGGCCGTTTTCCCTTGGGTTGTTGCATTTGTTTCGGGTTTCCCCTTTCGTTTTTGGCCGTTGTCCCTCGGGTGTTTGCATGTTTTTCGGGTTAGGGGAAGCGCCTTCTTGGAACGAGAAGGTGCTGCCAGTTTGTTAGGCCAAGCTTTCTAAGAAAAAACAAAGAACTAAGACGCGAGGGACCATGGCCGCCTGGCTGCGCATATTTTTCGCTTGGCGGATGACGGGAGGCGTCTTCGAGGTACGAGAAACGAGCTGGACGTTTTGGCTGAATCCTCCTCACATCTGTAAGATATTACGTGAAGCTGTTCGGGTTTCACCACCGTGTTTGGCCGTTCTCCCTTGGGCTTGTGCATGTTTGTTGGGTTTCCCCCCCAAGACGGCCCAAGAGCGCTCCAAGAGAGCCCAAGACCGCCCAAGACGGCCCACGAGACCCCCAAGAGGCCCCAAGAGGCGCCCAAGGGGCGGAGGAGGAGGAGGAGAAAGAGGAGGAGGGGGAGGAGGAGGAGGAGGAGGAAGAGGAGGAGGAGGACGAGGAGAGGGAGGTGGAGGAGCAGGAGGAGGACGAGGAGGAAGAGGAGGAAGAGGAAGAGGAGGAGGAGGAGGAGGAGGAACAGGTGGAGGAGGACGAGGAGGACGAGGAGGAGGAGGAGGACGAGGAGGACGAGGAGGACGAGGAGGACGAGGAAGACGAGGAGGACGAGGGGGAGGAGGAGGAGGAGCAGGACAAGGAGCAGGGTCATGAGGATAAGGAGCAGGTACGGGATGAGGAGGAGGAGGAGGAGGAGGAGGAGGAGGAGGAGGAGGAGGAAGGGGA